TATAGTGGTAGCCTACACAGAGACCATGCCGCAGTTTAACATGAATACCCCACTCAGACACAGTGTACTGACTTCGACCCGACCAGTCCATGTTTTTGCCATCTAATTATTGCCGAGCGCCAGGCGGGGCAACATCAAGTCTTGTTACGTCTTTTGGTACATCCTTCCGCTCTCCGGGCAGACGCAGTCTACCACTAGACTGCAACGAAATTGTGTCTTGGCAACATGGTATTTTGCAATTGTTATATGTTTAGGGTATAATTCTGTTCAAAGGTACCTTTAAGGAAAACATAAGTCCTAGTTTTATAATTGTTGAAAGGAAAGGCGTGTAGTTCAAACGAATATCATAACTTTGTTATTAATGCCTCGAAAAGGGATTATTTACCACATAATGGCACAGATAGCCAAATCCAATACGAAACAACAAAAAGCTTAATTGGTAAATACAACTACTTTTGCCACGATTCCCTGCTTGAGAAGCATAATAACGTTTTTGGATATCTATCATTTGGCACAGGCAATAATCTAATCCTGAATTTTATAGAACGTTCAATGCAACAATATACACAGCGTAAGGCCACATTCACCCAATACTGTGCAGGTGGGTGTCGAGTAGAACGCAGATCCAGGGCCCACTTGCACAAAGCGATCTTAGCGCTAAGATGATCGTAACTCACATACTTTAACATAGGCTTACAATAATCTTAGCGCTAAGATCGCTTTGTGCAAGTGGGCCCAGGGCGGGACTCCAATCCGAGGCGTATTCTCATATCCGTGGCAGATCATCATCACTCCAAGGAAAGGTTTACGTGCAAACATGTGTTGGTTTATATATTTACTACACGATCCAACCCCTAAACCTCAGACCAATACAATAAATTAGGCACAATGTAAGCATCAAATATCCTAAAACGTAATTCACACGGAATTGGAATCAATTAAGTATTCCAAGATGACGAGGCTTTACCCACAACGTTGATGTGAATTTTTTTAATTCTTCTCCCCAAAACATATTTTGTTTTCATTTCATATTAATAGAACATGTTAGCATTATTGGTCACCTTGATCAGTCATTACATGAGCTTCTATAAACAGTAGTGCTAGACTGAGAAGCCGCACTGTTTGTATGCTTATCCCAGGATATATAGAATACTAGACGAGCTTTCGTGTTATAATAATTTCATGACACGAGTGAATAGTTCTGGTTATCTGACGAGCGAGTTTGGTATTACGCGGGAGAGTGTTTAGTATTCTATTTATTACATGACGTTTATAACTTATCAAAATATCACTGTCGTGTGTAAATAGGCGGCAGACAAGATGCGCAGCACACTCCAAGCAGGCAGAAGACAATTACGCGATCAACAGCATAATCCAATGAAGTTTGACAGAATAATACTTCAAACACTTCAAAACGTTCACTCTTATTACTTTCATACAGCACAAGAGTCTACCTTTAGAATTCAGGGATCCGTTTCACACAGCTATGGTTGTGTTGCTACACGTTTACGTTTTAATGTACCCAATCACCTATAAAAATTCCCAATGATCGTTTGCTATGTTTCCTGAAACACACGTTGCGCTGTAGAGTTACGCTCCCATATTCTAAGATAGTTAATGTAGGGCAGTGTGCACGAAAGAACTGCTTGGGCGCAGTTTCATATCTCAGTGTTGGACTGTTTGAAGCCGTATGCTCAAGGTGGCATGAAAGATCTTATTGTGATATTTTATAAACAAAATTCGTTCCATAATCATAAGATAGATTCTTAATTAAAATTATTTGTGACAGACAATTTCTTTCACCCGAAACTCACCCATCCAAATACCCACTCAGTCACTTAATATCAAAGCATCGTTTACCACTTACAATGTATGCCCTTGACACAATAACACTCAGACACTTACTCAACCACCCATATTCACTATTGAATAATAATAACCCAGCTGATGTTATGTAATTTGTATTGACCACCCTTGGCCCGTGAATATTTAGACCGCTATATATATTTAACTTGGGGAATATTTAACATGTATATAAAACAACTCACTGTTAAAACTCATATCACACCACTTGGTTTTCGAAACATGGGCTCCCAGCTGGAGGGAACAATGGATTCAGTGAACATAATGTAATGTTTGGTACTGATGCTCCTGAGAAGGAACGTGACTTGTTTCGTGAAAGAATGTCAGTTGACTGTCTGATAAGACGAAAGGTCGATCAGGTTATTTTTATCAGTTAGCCTGTCACTGTTCTCAGAAGGGTCTTCAATAAGAATTAACTATTTAGCAAGTTTTCCATGATTGATTAACTATTCAGGTCATTTACATTTAATGTCAATAAATATCAGCCTTTGTCGTTATATTTTCACCCTGCAAATGAATATTAATAATAATGTCAACATTTATACAATTGGTTAAGTTGTCCTGGGTATGTCTCAAAACGTGAAGGGCTTAATACATTCTTCCAAAGCCTTAATCAAATACGTTTGTTTTTTAACACCACACTCCGCAATATTCCGGCTATATGACGGCGGTCAGTAAATATTCGAGTCTGTACAGGCAATCAAGTGACTGACATCATAAGCATCGATCTCCGCAATTAGGATACGACAACATACATCAACCAAGTCAGCGAGCCTGATCACCCGATCCCGTTAGTTGCCTTTCACGACAAGCATGGTTTGCTCAAGTAAATCAAATAAACGCGTGAACGGATAAAGCTGTAATTTGTTTATTATTGGCTTGAATGCGCGTGTTAACACGCAAATAATCGATGAAGTCCGTCCAAATCTCATCTTTGATTTTGCACATGCAAGAATACTTTGTTCCTTTTATCTGGCTGGTTGTGTCAGAGAAAGACAACATAAGTGTAAATTGCAAAGTTTCTGCTGTATCTGCCAGTGTCTCGTGTCAATTTCAACCACGTGAATTTCATTTAGCACGTGCACTACAGTCGTTTCGACTCATGGCGGACGAGAAGCCTATGATGAAAGGGCCTAAGCCCAGCTATAAAACTTGGACACTCTGTAGACAGGTGCATGAGCCTGAATGAATATGACACCGATGTGTTTGTTTGTGGTTGAACTCCTCACTCGGCAATTATCCAGCTATATGACGGCGGTCTGTAAATAATCGAGTCTGGACCATACAATCCAGTGATTGACATCATAAGCATCAATCTACACATTTAGGATACGATGACATGCATGAACCAAGTCACGAGTCTGACCACCCGATCCCATTAGTCGCCTCTTACGACAAGCACAGTCGCCTTCAGTGGCAATCATGGGTTGATGAAGGCCTATTCTACCACGGACCTTCACGGGTTTGATACCGAATGATATAGATTTGAAAGTTTGACATGTAATTTGATTGCCAGAACCAGAACATTGGTAGAACTTAACTTGTAAAGTCTTTGTAAGACTTGTCTAATAGCCTGGTAGACTATAAAGCTGATGCTTTATTACAGCTAAACATCTGATTCATAAAATTAACGTTCTTCTCGACCTAACCCATGTGTTCTGTAAATAGCCCCGTGAAGATCCGGAGTAGAATATGTCTCCAGCAACCCATGCTTGCCGTAAAAGGGGTAAGAGGCGACTAAAGGGATCGGGTGGTCAGGCTTGCTGACTTGATTGATGCATGTCAACGTATCCCAATTACGTAGATCGATGCTCATGATGTCAATCACTGGATTGTCTGGTCCAGACGCGGTTATTTACAGACCTCTGTCATATAACTGGAATTTTGCTGAGTGCGGCGTTAAACAACACACATCTTTTATCAGCAGTATATGACAGCCATGCGATAAATCGCAAAGAGCAATTGAGATGGAAGCGTATTTTATTTCACGATACAACATTGTTCTATCATGATGTAATTTCTGGAGTTTCGAGTGTGCGCAAACAACATGATGACGTCATATATTGGACGTTATTTTTGCGTGGGAAGTGTTCAGTAAGTTGTTCCCCATAAATGTAGCTGGGCTACGCAGATAAACGCAGTGGCCGAACGATCGCATCCAAAAGTGGGAGAGATATGACATCAGTATTAGGAGAAAAAGTACACATGATGGACGTGAGGATTGTGAGAATATGCAGGAAATACAAAACTTAACCCACCTGTTCGTAAAATGGACTTGTCCGACATTTCCGAGGTAGGATTCTATTCAGGGAGTCATCATTTTTAAACTTTGGGTAAATATTTTTGAAGCTTGTATATTTTATCATCATCCTTTAATAGTGAGTGAGTGAGTTGGGTTTAACGCCGCTTTTAACAGTATACCAGTTATATCGCGGCGTGTCAGCTTAACGTGGGAGGAAAGCTGGAAGTGATGCAGGTCCCAGACGTTTACCACTTCGGTGAAACCCACGTGCACGGGTATGGTGCTGACAAACCTAGAAACATAATCGGGTCTCATCCTTAAAGAGGCTGTACATGGTGTGGATATCTCATATTAGTAATAAACTGCGCCCCTCGTGGTTTATTCTCCCTGTAGTGTGTTATTGTACAATAAACAACTCCCACTCGTCGTTAATTCCTTAAATTTTATCATCGGACCCTTGAAGATACAGGTTGGAGGACCCTTGAAGATGCAGGTTAGAACTCGTCTTCAGCAACCCGTGCTTGCTGTATTCCGGACTAATGCCGGTTTTATTCTGCTATCCCACTCAGATACCATGCCGCTGCTAAACACTGACACTCGACTCAAGACATTATATACTGACTCCGAACCAATCAGTCCTTGTTTTACCCACTTAAAGGCGACTAACTTGTTTAATGAATGTTATCGTATCTCCATTGCGCAGGCTGATACTAATGATGTCAATCTCAGGGCCGCCTTGATATAGCATATAGCTTGAATATAGTTGAGGGCGCCGTTAAAAACAAGCAAACATCACCACTGGGACCGGCTGCGAAGCACAACTACATGATGTGCGTGACGCTCTCCAGGCTATGCCTGTATCTTTATAGGTCACACGCAGATATGCTTTTGAGATGACCCCTTGGTTCAGCCTGCTCTGGAAAAAAGGTCAAGGCGACTGTGCGGTCCTGTCTGACAATCGCAACGATGACGGAAGAGGCAGGGCGACGATTGAAGCAGCTCCAGACAGTGTTACAACCTAGCACTGGTGGATGCAGCATACAGACACATGTGACAGCAGGTTGGTAGTTGATCTTGCTTATTCTCCATCCAGTAGGCGGTCCCGTTACACGTCATATGTGTCGCTGGGACTGGGAGAGGTGGGGGAGAGTGCAGACATGTCGAATTCGTGTGGTTGTATGTATGCGTGTGTGTGGACTTGTATGTCTCTCTGCCTGTGTGTGTTCGTGTGTGTGTGTGTGTGTGTGTGTGTGTGTGTGTTTGTCTGTATATATGTTTTTGTGTGTTACATAACGAATTTGGTCAGGTATTTTAAGTAAAGCTACACGAATACTGAATGCCAAATGACAACATGCATACCCACATTTCGATGAATCCGCCCGTGTATCATACCCCCGTTCGTTTTGTTTGTTTGTTTGTTGTTTTACGCCGCACTCAGCAATATTCCAGCTATATGACAGCGGTCTGTAAGTAATCAAGTCTGGACCAGACAATACAGTGATTGACAACATGTTCATCGGTCCACGCATATGGGATCTATGACATGAATCAACCAAGTAAGCAGGCCTGACCACCCGATCCCGTTTGTTGCCTCTTACGACATGCATGGGTTGCTGAAGACCTATTCTACTCCGGATCTTCACGGGCCTGTTCCAAGGCCTACTATCTGTGGATGCATTGACTGTCTCCGTTACTCGGGGCACCTGGTCATGACAAGGCAGAAAATGACCCTGCTTGATTGCTTAAAAAAAATGGTTGGATACATATAATTCTATTAATCGCCTTCTGGTCAGATGGGAATCATGCAGCAACTAACGGGATAGGATGGTCAGGCTCGCTGATTTAGTTGATGCAATTACGTGGATCTATGATCAGGATGTCCAGTCTAGTCCAGACTCGATTATCTACAGACCGCCGTCTTATAGCTGGAATATTGCTGAGTGCGGCGTAAAGCAACAAACAAACAAACAAAAGATAACTGTGCGAGTGCCGGCATAAATACTAAATTAACAAACGCCCTTAGAACGCATTTGGTTTCGCTGAATAACATAAATATGTTCCATTAAATGTAAAAGTGTGACGTATGCATGGGAACGATGTATCTGATTTGCTGATAAATTGATAAAGCACTTGTTGTGTAAACAGGAGTTCGACATTTTCGAAGAGTGAAACTTGACACGCACGGAAAAGTTGTTGAGTCCTGTTTGTCGAGATACGATCGGGTCGCCATAACCTATAAGTCGGCTCATAAATTGTATTGATATCACAACTTGTCAGGTCTTCTGCGCAGTGGGCCTCTTTTTTGCAGGGCTATCTTAAGTTGTCCCAAACCCAACACCCCTCTGCCCATTGATAGTCTCTCCCAAACAGATTGTACGGTTCCAGTGACTACACGGATCTCACTGAGGCGTGGAGGTTACACAATCCAGGCATTGTAAAGCCATAAGAATTAGACGACCCGGGTTGAAATCGCATAAACATGCGACAGTGACAACCACAGCCTATTTGCTGGATTGATACATGTCGTCGTATCCCAATTTGCGCAGATCGATGCTCATGATGTCAATCACTGGATTGTCTGATCCAGACTCGATTCTTTACAAATCGCCGGACCCGTGAAGATCCGGGTTAGAGTAGATCTTTAGCAACCCACGCTTGCCATACAAGGCGACTATGCTTGTCGTAAGAGGCGACTAACGGGATAGAGTGGTCAGGCTCGCTGCAATGGTTGATGCATGTCATCGTATCCCAATTGCGTGGATCGATGCTCATGATATCAATCGCTGGATTGTCTGGTCCAGAATCGATTATTTACGGACCGCCGTCATAAAGCTGGAATATTGCTGAGTGCGGCGTTTAACAACAAACAAACAAAACAGAAGTGCAGCATTTTCCTGAACGCACTCAATAATACATCGTGCTCTCATGAAAGAGCTATTTAAACACGTGGTACTTGACATAGGTCACCTCTGAGATTCACGTTTCAGTCAGGTCGTCTTATCACGTGATCACATCACGTGGCTGGGAGCCCTCTTGATAAGATCATGACAACGCCTCTTGGTTGTGTAATTCGCGTTTATGCACAGTCACGTACATCGACCTAATTCAGGATCAAGTTTTACAACTGACCCTTATGCAGTCGACCGCATTGCTTTCATCGAATGTGGGGGACACAAGTGAACTAGTGCATAAACGTTAACACTGCTTTGACTGTTTATCACATGTATTGTGACAGTCAATAGTGACGCTATGCATATGTGTTCGCCACGGTAGTGAGCCCGCGGACAAAGAGAAGGTGCAAACAGCTCTAGATGACATGTCCCAGAATTTTTTAAAAAAAGAACTTGTAACGCACCATATAAACAGGTGTGTGACATCTTCATAAAAAGGGAAAAAAAGGTAGAGATCGTCACGTCACAGAGAAGGAGAAAAAAGAATAATTCGATAGTATTTGATAGAGGTGTCATTAGATGGGCAGGGGGGCACGGGTGGCCCAGTCGTCTGAGGCGCCGCGATTCGCTGTGCAGAGTTGCGTCCCTTGGGCACGCCAGAAACCTATGATTGTGGGTTCGACCCGATTATGTTTCTAGGTTTGTCAGTACCATACCCGTGCTCGTGGGTTTCACCGAAGTGGTAAAGATCTGAGACCTGCATCACTTCAGGCTTTCCTCCCACATTAAGCTGATACGCCGTGATATAACTGGAATACTGTTAAAAGCGGCGTTAAACCCAACACTCACTCATTCACTCATCAGAAGGGCAGTATATGATATGTACAGACATAGGGGTTGGTAGGGGGTTGGAGTGGGGTAGCCTAGTGGTTAAAGCGTTCGTTCGTCACGCCGAACAGCCGGTTCCACACATGGGTGCAATGTGTGGAATGTGCGAAGCCCATTTCTTGTGTCTCCCGCCGTAATATTGCTGGAATATTGCTAAAAGCGGCGTAAATCCATACTCACTCACCCACTCCTTAAAACCGTCTATAAAAACGCAGCTGACCGTATGAGGGTCCATTTTAACCAGGATGTTCTTTTGTAACTTTATCCTGAATTAGGTCGTTGTATCCCTGTTGTATTCTTCTGGTATTCCTTGCATTTAGACGGTTTTACAAGTTGGAGACAACTCTTCTCTATTGTGGTTGTGAGCCGTGAAGGTCCGGGATGGAATAGGTCTTCAGCAACCGATGCTACCGTAAAAGGCGACTATGTATGTCGATCATGTGAGAGGCGACTAACGGGTTCGGGTGGTCAGGCTCGCTGACTTGGTTTGATGCATCGGTTCACTCAATTGGGATCTATGCTTATGGTGTCACTGTATTGTCTGGTTCACACTCGATTATTTACATACAGACCGCCGTCATATGGCTGGAATATTTCTGGTGCGACAATACACAAACAAACATACAGACAAACAAACATTGTCATTATGACGGTCCTAAACCCACTGAGTATTTGAAGCAACAGTATTTCTACATGGATTACTTGAGCCGACTCAAGTGATGGAAACGTGTCCTGTTGTTTCAGCTCTATCGGGCACATAAGCTGTGACCGTACCATTTCCATGGTAAAAAATATAATAGTTATTACCGCCATTGAGAAAAGAAGTACAAGAAGAGTAAAGAATACGTTGATACATATGATCACAGATATTAGGATATGCACGTATGCGAAGGGTGAACACTTAGAGAGTCCTATATCGTTATGTCATTGCCGACGCCACGCAATGATTAGTTTAGAACTGAACTTACAAAAAACTTTAAAACTTTTAAAACTAATGAACATATTTTTTCATATTTCATAATATGTTCTACATGTCGATGGCTACAACAAAGTATACTTTGTATCATTTCAAATATTCAAAACATCCGTCGTCACAGCACCAATATAATTAAAATCAGAACTTAGTTCTCGCTATCGCTAAATAAAGATCTGAGGACATCCCATTACGGGTCACGTCAGAGCGACCTTTCATTCGACCAATCAAACCGCCGCTTACCAGATCGTGAAAGTAACAGTCGGAATGTGTTTTCTAACCATACAACCCCGAAAACGTTAACACGGTGTATTCAGAACGACATTTTCAATCTGTTCGACTGATTATCAAAATTATCGTCAATCTCTCGCTTCCGTGGGATAAACATTTGAACGGAGCAGGCGTTGCACAGTACGGGGGAAGCACTGCCATAAAATCACAACCATATATTAGACATTCCGTAATGGTCGTTTGTTCAGTTTTCAAAATCTTAATGTCAACATATTTTTCAAGCGTAGTCTAAAATGAAGGTCGCCAGTTTGAAACGAGTGCTGTGAAGCTCGAGAAAACTGCTTTCTAATTGGCTGATGTCGACTTATTATTCCTTCCAGTGGTCGACCTAAGTTCGCGAAAGGTCATTCTGACGTGATCTGTTTTGTGATGTCCTCAGATCTTTGTTTAGCGGCAGCGAGAACCTAGATCTGATTTTAATGAGATTGCCACGGCACATTCTAAGAAAGAATACAGCTTTCATTGCCTCGTTGTCGGGTTGTCGCCCTAACAAAATGAACCAAACGTGACATCGCCACAACGCCATATTGTGACCAGACAATCAAGTGATTGACATCATGAACATCGATAGACGCAATCGGGATCGATGACATTCATCAACCAAGTCAGCGAGCCTGACCACCCGATCCCGTTAGTCGCTTATGTGCTGACATACCCGACGTTAGGGGCCACAAAGATACTGACATCAATTTCAACGGGATTAGATCGTGCAAAACACCAGTGACCAAAATCATGTCCGGTGCAATTCTCTAGTTGGCCTTGTACCATGTGTTCCCGTGTTTTTTCATGTGAACAATTGACTTGCCTTTGCATGTGCTTGTGACAGGTCCCATCGGTGGGGCAGGACCTGTTTGCGAACACCTAGTATCATCAATATTTGATAGTTATTCATAAACACGTGCATGCTATCCGATTCTGGATTGTCTGGTCCAGACTCGATTATTTACAGACCGCTGACCGTGTGGGTTAAACAGCAAACCAACCAACCAAATCATACACACAATCTGATTATATTATACAGTCAGATTTCATTTGAGCATCGAAAGGGTTTCGTTGTTTATATGTACAAAGACGCATCTGCATAGGGTCATGGAGTTACATTGTCTCAATCGATATATCGAGTTAGTATAATGAGTTCGAGTAAAAGATTCTGGGAGACCCTTTATAATAGAGTTCGAGTAATCAGGTTTTACTTCGGCTCAGCAGGGAGCTAGTGTTCCCCCAGTTTAATGTACATGTCGACTTTTCACTGGTTGACATATAGATGACCGATGTTTTGTTCTTGTAGAATGCTGCAAGGGGCCGGGGTATGCCACGCCCCTGGATGCTATGAAAGGCCCCAGGGAGAGGCTCGTGTACATCCCGTGCATTGTCCCCGAGAAAGATCGACCTGACTACCTTTCTACAGTCGATGTAGACCCTGAATCGCCTACTTATTGCCAGGTAATTGCGTAGATCGATGCTCATGATATCAATCACTGGATTGTCTGGTCCAGACTCGATTATTTACAGACCGCCGTCATATAGCTGGAATATTGCTGAGTGCGGCGTTAAACAACAAACCAACCAACCAACATATTGCCAGGTAATATCTTATTCTTGACCCTCCATGGATACCGCAGGCCCAACACACACTTCGCACCTATACTTTGTGTGTGTGGCCTTTACCAGAATGTCAATGATATTTTGATTAATTCCAACGTACCCCTCTACAACGATGTATAACTGGAAATAATATACTTTGACGTCATGGCAAGGTTTCTGCGTCCCCTGCAACACAAGCCCCCTGCAGTCTAACGGCGTCGCATAATGTACTCTGGCAGAAATATTTTGTAAAGCTAACTAACCTAACTGGTGAATTTCACTGTCCACTCAGACACTAACATTTTAGTAGACTTAACTTATCAGTTATTTTTTTTACAAGATGACCCGTCGTCACTAACCAAAAGACCCGTGACAATATGGGGTAGAAGAGACAATGCATGTCATAAGAGGCGTCTAACGGGATCGGGTGGTCAGGCTCGCTGACTTGGTTGATGCATGTCATAGATCCCAATTGCGTGGATCGATGCTCATGATCACAATCGCTGGATTGTCTGGTCCAGACTCGATAATTTACAGACCGCCGTCATATAGCTAGAATAGTGCTGAGTGCGGCGTTAAACAACAAACAAACATAGTTATGGGGTAAATCATAGGTATTGTACGTCCGTAGGTTGCTTGCAGTCCTCATGATGCACATGTCCACACTACCTTGCAGGTGATCCACCGTCTATATATGCCCTATGTTGCTGATGAACTTCACCACACTGGTTGGAATGCGTGCTCCAGTTGCTATGACGATGCCAGTAAAACACGGAACCGGATGGTGCTCCCCTGCATCAACAGTGACAGAGTGTATATAGTAGACACAGGTACCTACCCGAGGAGCCCGTCCATTCACAAGGTAGGGACGTACCTTATCCACGCTATGCACAGTTTCCACATAAACCATAAGCCTTTGCTGAACCATGGTTCAATTATGTTTATCTTAGTTATATTGCCTCCTTCTTACCAAGTGCCTTACCGATTCCGTACTACCGTGCCAAGACGGTTCAATAGTTACTGTAGCTGGTATGTCTAGTTCAGACAACAAACAGGTACGACGAACAAAACTTGACAAAGTAGACATTTTCATTCTTGGCTTTTACTTCCTCACTATTGTGGGGCGGTCGGGTAGCCTAGTGGTTAAAGCGTTCGCTCATCACGCCGAAGACCCGGGTTCGATTCCCGATATGGGGACAATGTGAGAGGCCCATTTCTGGTGTCCCCCGCCTTGATATTGCTGGAATATTGCTAAAAACGGCGTAAAACCATACTCACTCACTCTTACCCAGTGCCATCGATCATTTATTTTGTCGACCACGGATTATGTATAGTAGAATAAAGAAGCCGAAGCGATTTTGTGGTTGAGGGCGCTGCCCGGTAGTGTTCCGTTGCTGAGCAACAATGCCATAAATGTTGTGAACGTCAACGACCTGCGTCATTTTGGGCATTTTTCAATAAAGTTGACATTATTATTATGACCGAAAAAGTGTTTGATTATATCAGAAAAGGGATGATACTATTATTGTAATGGAATGCATCAATCTGATCCGGAAACCTATGTTTAGGTTATATTAATGAATTCAGGATTGATCAAGTGGTTCTTAACATAAAAACTAAAATTCGAAGCAAAATGGTACATGTACATTTCGTATATAACTTTTGTTCGCAGATGTTCGCATTTATCCGGAGTAGAATTTACACCAAACTGCAGACTAATGTATTTTCTTCTTAAATGATCATATTTATGACAAACTGAAAGTGGGATTCATCCTCGGTTGCATTTGAGTTACATTGGTACCCTGAGAAATGAGAATATGAGAACAATGTAACTCAAGATCAACCAATGAAAACATGTTGGTCACCACAAGATCCAAGACTATATTCCTGCGACCTAATAGATTACACAATCACATTCCTCCCATCGTTGTCTAACGAGGGAATGATTTTAAATCTATTTCCATTTTTTTCTGTAGATTTGATTACTTTTTCTTAATTAAACCATATTTACGGCGTTATTGCAGAACACTTCCATTTGCATTTATCAATTTTTACGCATACGTTTCGGGAGCGAGAGGTATTGAGGGGGAGACTCGAAGATATGAATCTTATTGGCGACACGTGGTTCTGTGCACAGCGCACAATTGCATATCAGGTGAAGTTAGGCAACGTCGGCCGCGGAGAATCCTTGGATGGATGACTGCGTTTAGGAAGCTTGGCTCCTGAGAGTTTCTAGGCTTTCGGTCCTACCCCATACTGAAGCAAATGTAACACATGTGGCGTCATCTCGGGCAAGTGAATTTGTTCCAATATGGGCCTCTGTTCACCCAGCAATGAATGGGTACCCGGTAGGATGACATGGGAATGTGGTTGTTAACCTTCTAGCGCCTAACATGGAGCTTGGATTATATACTCCCCAGGGAGTTGAGAATTATTCTTGAGTGCACATTGATCCAATGACCGGGGTCATAATATCGTTTTGAGCATGCCCCTGACTGGTGTGGAAAAATACGCTATATAAATAACCTATTATTTATATATTTATATAGAGATAAGCATAATTGAACTGACGGATATAACGAACTGTTTTGGGGTCCCGTCCATTTGTTGTATATAGGCTGTATATGTGCCTATATAACGAACTACGGTTATAACGAACTAAAATAAGGGGTCGCTTTTAGTTCGTTATAGGGGCTCCGGTGGCCCAGTCGTCCAAGGCGCCGCGATTTGCAGAGTTGCGTCCCTTGGGCACGCCTGAAACCTATGATTGTGGGTTCGAATCCCGGTTCGCCCCGATTATGTTTCTAGGTTTGTCAGCACCATACCCGTGCTTGTGGGTTTCACCGAAGTGGTAAACGTCTGACACCTGCATTACTTCGGGCTTTCCTCCCACATTAAGCTGACACGCTGCGCTATAACTGGAATACTGTTCAAAGCGGCGTTAAACCGAACTCACTCACTCACTAGTTCGATATAACCGTAGTTTACTGTATACCCGTTCATCTGTCGCACAGCAACATTTACAATGCATTTTATTGTTACAGATCGTTCAGCCCTCTGAGGTTCACTCCAAGACAGGCCTGGGCGCGCCCCATACCACCCACTGTCTTGGGTCAGGTCACATCATGATCAGCTGTATTGGCAATCAGAACGGAGACGGAAATAGTAAGTGATTTCTAGTGCTACTCGTAACTAAAGTTAATATACACATATATCATGCGCTGTGTAGTTGTGAACAATATTCTAGCACCAGTAAGCTCCGGGTTACACTTGGTCTTCAGCAATCCATGCTTGTACACGAGTGACATCCGGGTAACACTTGGTCTTCAGCAATCCATGCGAGGCGTCTGACGGGATCGGTTGGTGAGGTTCGCTGACTTGATTGATGCATGTCGTCGTATCCAAATTGTGTACATCATTGCTCATGATGCTCGACTATTTACAGACCGCATGTAGCTGGAATATTGCTGAGAGCGGCATAAATGTATATTGCAACAAAGAAATAAGAATTATAATTGCATCCTTCTCAAATCAAATGTGTGAAAGCACATTCTCCGCGAAATTAGTTTTTCGGGCATGTTTTGGATATTTAAGTGTGCTTCCATCAATACTGCTTGTGCACCAGTTTGATTTATGATGGTTCCATATCTGTCAGGTGGCTTCTTCCTGTTGGATGGGTCGGACTTCCGTGTCCTCGGCAAGTGGGAGAACTCCCCTGCCCCCGATTACGGCTACGACTTCTGGTACCAACCGAGACACAACGTCATGCTCAGCTCCGAGTGGGGAGCTCCGAATGCTTGGAGAAGCGGATTCAACCCACAGCATGTGAAAGACGGTGAGATAGCTTTAGGAATGAGTGAGTGAGTGAGTGAGTGAGTGAGTTGGGTGAGTTGGGTTTAACGTCGCTTTTAACATTATTCCAGTTATATCGCGGCGTGTCAGCTTAATGTGGGAGGAAAGCCCGAAGTAATGCAGGTCTCAGACGTTTACCACTTCGGTGAAACCCACGAGCACGGATATGGTGCTGACAAACCTAGAAACATAATCGGGGTGAACCGGGATTCGAACCCACATGTACAACCATAGGTTTCAGGCGTGCCCAAGGGACGCAACTCTGCACAGCGAATCGCGGCGTTTTAGACGACTGGGCCACCCGTGCCCCCTTCTTTAGGAATGAATACATGTGGTTGTGCCTCCCCGAAGAACTAAAACAAACACACTTGGACTAAAATACACTTTCATATATTCAGTGTTTCGAAAGTTATTTAAAATAAATAAATTGTAAACCAAACGCGTCTTAATTATTGACTTTTATAAATTTGTCAAATAATATATTTTCTTTTCTAATATCTTTTATTTCAAATAAATACTAGACATAAATGTAACATTAGTACACGAGGTATATAAGTGTAGCAAGTTCATAGAATCTTAAAGCATGATCAGATATGGGTATGTACATATATTGGATTGACTGATAAATCATATTAAATAGGGTAATAATTCCTTCCATTTTCTGTCGAATTTATTTTTACTAGTACTACTTTTTTTCATTGCGATAATGTTTTTCCATCTTTCAATATTTTTATGAAGAAAGGAAAGCATAATGGAGTTTTCTTAATGCTTCACTGGTGAATGTATTTTTTGCAAGAAGAATTATATGATTGAAAAGTTACTAAGGAACATACTTGGAAATGACACTACCATGAAAAGTGTCGACACTGTCATGAAAGATACATTAAAATTGCCTGGCAAGATATATTGACATTACCATGTAATATCTTTTTATATTACCACGTAAGATACATTATAATTTCCATACACGACATTTTGTAATATAATTGTATTACATGTATAAGGTGAAACTTTAAGGCACATTCGTATTACCATGTAAGACACATAATCATTATCAAGAAGTGGGAGAATTAATTTTGAAGGATGCATTAGCAATTGTCCAGCACTGTAGCAGTGAGTGAGTGAGTATGGTTTTACGCCGTTTTTAGCAATATTCCATCAACATCACGGCGGGGGACACCAGAAATGGGCTTCACACATTGTACCCATGTCGGGAATCGAACTCGGGTCTTCGGCGTGACGAGCGAACGCTTTAACCACTAAGCTTCCCAGCATTAAGATATATTGACATACACACGTTTAGGATGAAATGTTAAATATACAGTGTCCTTGCATTCTGTGATGTGGTGTGGTCGCAGGTCTGTACGGTCACAGTATTCACGTGTGGGACTGGACGACACACGAGCGCATTCAGACACTTGACCTCGGAGAGGAGGGCAAGATCCCACTGGAGATACGGTTCCTCCACAACCCGGACACCACAGAGGGGTATGTGGGGTGCGCGCTCAGCTCGACAGTGTTCCGATTCTTCAAACTCCCGGTGAGTCACACAGCGCTGTTATTGATAACAAATAAGACATTTTTCATAATCACATGAAATCTCTATTAAAAGCAAAGTCGATTGTACGATCTCTGTAAAATAGTGAGGGTACCAGGTGTTCGTGGAGAGGTGAGCGCATCCTGCCCTAAAATCACAAGCCAAATGTAAGGAATTGCACCCGACGTTATTTTTGTAACTGATTGAAATGTTCTCCACATGTCTTTCATAAAACGTTTTGAAGCTTTGCATATGCTTTGAATGTTATAACTTTGACCTATCAACTTTTGAGCAACAGTCGTATATCTTCAAAATCTTTGAAGAACGAAAATGTTCGATTGTATACCTCAAAAGATTGTTGATTCGAACAGTTGAGTGAGTGAGTGAGTTGGGTTTTACGCCGCTTTTAACAGTATTCCAGTTATATCACGGCGTGTCAGCTTAATGTGGGAGGAAAGCCCGAAGTGATGGAGGGCTCAGACGTTTACTACTTCGGTGAAACCCACGAGCACGGGTATGGTACTGACAAACTCAGAAACATAATCGGGTCGAACCGGGATTCGAACCCACAATCATAGGTTTCTGGCGTGCCCAAGGGACGCAACTCTGCACAGCGAATCGCGGCGCTTTAGACGACTTGGCCATCCGTGCCCCCTTGTCGTATGCATTTGACATTGAATTCATCTTCTCATGCAAAACCTTGCAATGGTCATTTGACAAAAGACACATGTCGCACTTCCTGTGTAGGGATGCTTTCTTCATGAATCATACCAGGATCCAGCATCATTCATATCCTTTGTTTGTCGACCCGTGAAGATCCGGGGAAGAATAGGTCTTCAGCAACCCATGCTTGCCGTAGAAGGCGACTATGCTTGTCGTAAAAGGCGACTAACGGGATCGGGTCGTCGGGCTCGCTGACTTTGTTGATGCATGTCATCGATCCCAATTGTCTGGATCGATGTTCATGATGTAAATCACTTGATTGTCTGGTCCAGACTCGATTATTTACAGACCGCCGTCATATAGCTGTAATATTGCTGAGTGCGGCGTAAAACAACAAACCAACCAAACCAAACCAAACCTTTGTTTGTCAACACAATATTACACATTTACGTCAATTCCGGACATTCTCACATACTGTTAACACACTCGCTGTAACGTGGACCCGTGAAGATCCGGGGTAGAATAGGTCTTCAGCAACCCATGCTTGCCGTAAAAGGTGACTATGCTTGTCGTAAAAGGCGACTAACGGGATCGGGTTGTCGGGCTCGCTGACTTTGTTGATGCATGTCATCGATCCCAATTGCGTGGATCGATGCTCATGATATTAATCACTGGAATGTCTGGTCCAGACTCGATTATTTACAGACCGCCGTCATATAGCTGGAATTTTGCTGAGTGCGGCGTAAAACAACAAACAAAACAAAAAAAAACTTAGTTTGTCAGCACAATATTACACATTTGCGTCAAATCCGGACATTCTCACATACTGTTAACACACTCGCTGTAACGTGATGTAACATTTGCAGAATGGGAGATGGGACAGCGAGAAGGTGATCACTATTCCCAACAAAACAGTGGAGGGGTTCGCCCTGCCCCAGCTGCCTGGTATGTGACTGTGTTTCCTAACGAGTGATTTGTTTATGGAATGCTATCTAACATAACTACTAGTTTTCAGTACATAACGACAGCGGCGCGGGTGGCCACGTGGTCTAAGTCAAACATAGTTGATCATCACGCAGACATGCGAGACAACTTGAATAATGTTCAACTCGACGTTAAACCAAACTCATTTACTCATATAGTGAATCACATTGTCTAACCTGCTATATTCAGAAACAAATGAAGTATACTTACAACAGCTTGTTGGAAAAGCCACATGACAAAGAGACGCGTGAAGATCCGGGTTAGAATAGGTTTCAGGAACCCATGCTTACCGTAAAAGGCGACTGTACTTGTCGTAAGAGGCGACTAACGGGATCGGGTGGTCAGACTCGCTGACTTGGTTGATGCATGTCATTGTATTCGAATTGTTTAGATTGATGCTCATGATGTCAATCACTTGAATGCCTGGTTCAGCCTCAATTATTTATATACCGCCGTCGTATAGTTGAAATATTGCAGAGTGCGGCGTTAAACACCAAAACAAGTGATACTAGTAAATTAGTTCATACCTTATCATTTGTTTGTGTGTTTTATATTTAACAACGTTCTCAGCAATATTCCAGCTGCATTACGGCAGCCTGTAAATAATCGAGTCTGGGCCAGAAAATACAAATACAATCTACAGTAAACTACGGTTATAACGAACATGCTTATAACGAACAAACGGATATAACAAACTAACTTTTTAGTCCCGACTATATGCTGTAGTTATGCTGTATATATGCTTATAGCGAGTTACGGTTATAACGTTACCGAACTAAAATTAGTAGTCCCTTTGAGTTCGTTATAACCGTAGTTTACTGTAGATTGTGAGAAACGATCCAAGGCTTGGAGTGCGATTACAAGCAATCAACCAAGTCACTAAGCCTTACTACCCGCGCAATAAAGCGGCCTCTTGCGACCAGCCTGCATCCCAACGTGGTTCATACTATATACATCTATAGATGATTACTAGTCATTTTTGTGTGGCATGAAATAATTGTAATACATTGAGAAATGATGGACAAATACAGATCCCATAAAGAAATTATAATGAATATCTATTATTTGCAACTATTCCATCATCAGAACGTCAAAGTGTAGACACTAGGGCTTGAATTTTGTCTAAAGTAAATATTTGTTACACTGTATAATTTAATCACACAACCCCACAACGCACGCACGTGTATAAATAGTAGCCGTCAGATGAAGAACGATATCCTATGGCCTCATGCCTATTCCGGCTGACATAATCGACTTAAAACTCATGACGCCGTCCCTTGCGAAACAAATATTGAACTCAAAGGCGACACGGTGTTTGTGTCAATTCGGTTGGTGAGTCGTTGCGACCCGGCCCACTACGAGAGAAAGATTACAATTGCGTTCCGTGTTCTGAAAACCTTTGAATAGTATGACTGGTTTCGGCTTGTTGCAACTTGTCCTGTGACTAATGCAAGCAGCCTATCAATATAAACTGTGCTGTCAGTAGTCATGATGAACAACTTGAGTGAGATACCACGCAGGCCTCATGCAAGACGAATGTAACGAAATAACAAGGGTAAATGTGCACATGGTCCTCTGTATAAATCAAGTAATTAAACAAGGAACAGGTAGTGTAAACGTGTATGTGGTCCTCTCATAAAGACACTAAGTGACAGTGTGTAATTTGGGAAACACAGGATGTGAGGGAATATTTGTTTAGTCATGTACTGGCTGGTTCGACAACTCGTGGAAGTGAATTCAAAAGAATTCAAGTAGCTCCTTATGCCTGTTTTTTGTCGGCAAAAGTAACTACGTCGTAAAACTATTGAGAGTGTGTGTCGCTCGCAGTTTTCGCTGTCCTTTCCTGCTCGCAAAACTTTCCAATTTACAGTACCTATCTATTGATGTCATAAGAAAAATACTTAAAGAAAATTTAAATGTCATAAAGACAAAAAAGAGACAGCTATTTGGAGATAACTATATGATGAGTTGAAAATTTGATGTAAATTTCCACAAATTGAGTCCAGTAAGAAGCGCCACGATCACGGCATGTCAGGACTCTATTGCAGCCACGTTCCGATGTACTTGCATGTGGGATTCACTATAGTGATTCACCACGCCCAGACCTGCACCACGCCGCCAACATTACAGTGATACGCTGTTACATAACTGACATAGTGTTCGTCCCGGGGCAAGGGCGTTTACTGACTGTTAAACTCCAGTTTCCACCCTTACCGAACTAGGATGCAATTATGGAGTTATATTTTGGCTGGACTAACGAGTCTATGCATAGTCCAATCATAATCACGAAACGAAAATCGACATTCGGTTCCTAAACTGACGTGCAGATTTCGGCCGATTGCACGATTTGCAAAGCATGTTTACCGTCAACTCGGCGTCAACGGCTATTTTCAAAATCTCTTCAATGTTTTTGTTCAAGGTGCTCACTTGATTTGATGCTCTTCGTGAAGTAAGACCCGTTTTATTACAAAAGAGATCTTGATTATCGATCCCTGGGCGACGCCATTTTATTTGAAGCAAATGCAAGTGATATGAGAGGTGGAATCTGATTTGTAAATAGGAAAGAAATAGAAGGGACAAAACTCGTAATGGCCACTGGCGGAGCTACGATCGAGCCTCGAAATTCCATCGTAGTTTTACAGTCAGTTAGCTCCCATGCCTCGATAAGATGAGTGTTGACAGCCGCGTTGAACCCAACTTCTCGCTTACTCATAGCTTATTGCAAAACTCTAAGCGTGCCCTAATGCGCCTTTATTTACTGGGTACAGTCACATCGTTTGTCTTCATAAAATCATCTGGACTTGGCGACGAATCCCATATCCCACAATATTACCATTATGACACCTGCTCTGCTGGCAACATACCCATACTAGTTAGCTAATGGGTCGGGTAGATATATTCCAACTGTGTTACATTGAGCATTTCAAATGCTTTCTGTTAGGTTTCCATTAAGCCGCTACTCTGTAAATAACGTGAGTTGAAGACTGCATTTAGACAGACAAACAGACAATTTATTTACTGATTCTGTGCAACTTAGCAAGCGGTACTTTAGTTTTGTGAGTGAGTGAATGAGTATGGTTTTACGCCGCCTTTAGCAATATTCCAGCAATATCAAATTGTACCCTTGTCTGGATTCGAATCATGTCGGCGTGACGAGTGAACACTTTAACCACTAGGCTGTTTTCGTCTTGTATTGTCATACAGTACGCATATAAAAGTCCCTTGGTATTCATCTTCAATATATTTCCAGACGGTATATATAACCTTACACATTGTCTTCCTCTTGTTTCAAGGTCTGATAACTGACATAATACTCTCCCTGGATGACCGATACCTCTACTTCAGCAACTGGCTCCACGGGGACATCAGGCAGTACGACATCACCGACAGGAGGAACCCAAAACTGGTTGGGCAGGTACAGTGATACAGTGATACAGAGATGGAACGTAGCAACCGAAAAGTGCCACACATGATAACATAACATGGGCGGATACAGCTTTTTTTAAAAGGGGGGGGGGGGGGGGGGGGGTGCACAATTAAGATCTATGTATTGTCTTTGGTGGTAATTTATACAGAAATAAAAAGGGGGGGAGGGGGGTGCGCACCCCGCACCTCCCCTCTGTATCCGCCCATGCATAATACCCTACTCAACTTTGTAAGGGTACAGAAATATGTCATACCGTTACGACACTCGAACGACAACTAACGGAATGTGGAATGATATACTTCAGTGTGAAAGACTGAGTTTTCTGAAGTTGAGATAAGTGATATTTTCATTGCAGTGAACATAACACTTGATATTTCACTGCAGCGAACATAACGCTTTGACGGAACTATTGTAATACAGGAGTTACCTCCCCTTAAATTGTCTCCCTTTGTCGTAAGTTTTCTAGCCCCGTACACAAACTGTTGACGTCCTTTTTACGTTAGTTCCACATTGACAAGGCAAAAGAATGGCCGATCGTCATTTATGGAGTTAATATCACTTCTTGCCGTTTGTTATTCTCTCGAAAATGTTTCGTTATAAACTGTTAATTTCTCATTTAACTCGTCAATCGAGAGTGTTCGTTTGGCAAAGCGTCGTTTTTGTTACTTGACAAGCGGGTATTCTTTCGCTTCTACAGCGGTTTCCTAGTTTTGAAGAATATTTTGTTTGTTTGTTGATTTTGTATATAAGCATACCTAAATGTATGATAAAGAATTTTCGTGACCCTTAATATTTTTTGATACTTTTGTTTATTTAGTCCCTATGTGTTAGGTAGGGAGAGACCCGTGAAGATCCGGGGTAGAGTAGGTCTTCAGCAACCCATGCTTGCCGCAAAAGGCGACAATGCATGTCGTAAGAGGCGACTAACGGGATCGGGTGGTCAGGCTCGCTGACTTGTTTGTTTCATATCATCGTATCCAAATGGCGTGTATCGATGCTCACGGAGAATTTGCGTTTCAAGGTTTTACATTTTTAATGAAATTATTTATTTTTCCAGTAGACACCTACCCAAAAAAGTATATAACAAACAGGATATTACATATGTACATCTCGTGACGGGTAAAAAGGAGGTATACGTCACTCGTGAAAGTCTTCACCCCCCCCCCCCCCCCCCCCCCGTCACTCGATGTGAGAAACATGATATTTCTTTCGATGCATGAAATATCCTCTATATCTTGTTCTGAATAATGTGAAACACATCGATGAAATGGCGATCAGGAATACATTTCGGATAAATGTGTTTCAGTAAAATCATTTAGTCCGGGAATGATAGGACTAAGTAGCTGAGTGGAAGACTTTGTGAGATCACGACGAAGTATTGGTGTTTTTCTTGCTGTATCGCTTTGTCTAATGGACATCTACATAAACACATGGTGTATTACAGAAAACCGAAGAGGATGTTAATATTAAGTAGTCAAAGTCTAAAATATTTTCTCGAGTTTCAATGTTTGTTACTTCTAATAGGTCATAATGAAATACTCGCTATGATACCTATCACACATTGCTTGATCGCTCTTCATCTCCACCTAGGTATTTCTTGGCGGCATGATATGCAAGGGAGGTGACATCACAGTGACACACGACCCAGAGGGCCAGGTTCGCATCATGACTTTCTCAGTTTATCATTGTCAGTCAGTGTCTCCTCTCCACATGTTGGAACCGTGTATACAATATAAGGGAGCAATAAGGAAATAATCCGACCAAAATCCCGCTCGAGATGATACCGTTGCTTTAACGTTGCTTTAAAAAACTGACACACCTTTCTTTGTACAGGGTCAGCCCGACCCAGTGTTTATCCGCACCAAGAGGCTGGAGGGAGGCCCTCAGATGTTGCAGCTCAGTCTGGATGGGACACGCCTGTACGTTACAACGTCCCTCTTCAGCGCCTGGGACAAACAGTTCTACCCAAATATGATCAAGTATGTGTAGTGACGAATAGTTCTACCCAAATATGATCAAGTATGCTTAGTGACAAATAGTTTACCCAAATATGATCAAGTATGTGTAGTGACAAATAGTTCTACCCAAATATGATCAAGTATGTGTAGTGACGAATAGTTCTACCCAAATATGATCAAGTATGTGTAGTGACGAAGAGTTCTACCCAAATATGATCAAGTATGTGTAGTGACGAATAGTTCTACCATAATATGATCAAGTATGTGTAGTGACGAATAGTTCAACCCAAATATGATCAAGTATGTGTAGTGACGAATATTTCTACCCAAATATGATCAAGTATGTGTAATGATGAATATTTCTACCCAAATATGATCAAGTATGTGAAGTGACAAATAGTTCTACCCAAATATGATCAAGTATGTGTAGTGACGAATATTTCTACCCAAATATGATCAAGTATGTGTAGTGACGAATATTTCTACCCAAATATGATCAAGTATGTGTAGTGACGAATAGTTCTATCCAAATATGATCAAATATGTGTAGTGACGAATAGTTCTACCCAAATATGATCAAGTATGTGTAGTGACGAATAGTTCTACCCAAATATGATCAAGTATGTATAGAGACAATTAGTTCAACCCAAAAATGATCAAGTATGTGTAGTGACGAATAGTTCTACCCAAATATGATCAAGTATGTGTAGTGACAAATAGCTCTACCCAAATATGATCAAGTATGTGTAGTGACAAATAGTTCTACCCAAATATGATCAAGTATGTGTAGTGACGAATAGTTCTACCCAAATATGATCAAGTATGTGTAGTGACGAATAGTTCTACCCAAATATGATCAAGTATGTGTCGTGACGAATAGTTCTATCCAAATATGATAAAGTATGTGTAGAGACGAATAGTTCAACCCAAATATGATCAAGTATGTGTAGTGACGAATAGTTCTACCCAAATATGATCAAGTATGTGAAGTGACAAATAGCTCTACCCAAATATGATCAAGTATGTGTAGTGACGAATAATTCTACCAAAATATGATCAAGTATGTGTAGTGACAAATAGTTCTACCCAAATATGATCAAGTATGTGTAGTGACGAACAGTTCCACCCAAATATGATCAAGTATTACAAACCGTTCTTCCCAAATGTAAATGATAATGTGTTTTTGAATGTTTGTTGTTTAACGTTTAGAGTAGGGGATATTGTAGGGAGGTCAGATATTTTTAATCTGCAGCCTGAGAAATCGTTATATTTTTTAAGCATTTTCTTGGACAATATTGTGTTTTAGATAAAAGCCCAGCTGTGTGATGCGATAAACAAGAAACAAACAGGGAAGATCATCCCACGTGTTTCATAATTATATGTCTAAAATCACATAAAATAGTATCTGCCAGGGACACAAGTAGAATTGTCGTCTAAGGCATCTAAAGTACAACTATACAAACTTTAACACAAACATAAATTGAAAGCACTACACATTTATTTCTAGAAGCAATTATGTCAATGGAAACGTAAAACATCAGAATGATCATACAACTATTTCAAAACAGTATAATATTCATAAGCATTCGTTAGACGATAAAAAATGTAAATGTGACATCAAGATAAACATATAAAATATATTACAGTATCGGACATTTTGTCACTGATGCGTCAAATTTGGAACTGTCTTCTTCTTCTCTACCTAAAAGGTTTTAAAAGCTTAACTAAAGTTTTGAATGTTGTAACCGTGATCAAACAAGTTTTGAGCAAGAGTTGCATGACGTCTTCTAAGAAAGAGCGAGCTTATTACACCTTAAAAGTTGTGAAATGTAGATACCAAAAGCGGGAGCGCCTGGCATACTGATCGATATTAATTGATTAGTTGAATTTTGAAAGTCATCCTTCTATTGTCACACAGTCTTGAAGATATGTTTTTATCACTCTGAATCTTAATATGTACACCTAAACATAAAACAGGTGAGGCGGTTTCGCTAGTCTCTTTAATATCTAGTGCTCATGAGTATATAAATTGAAGAGAAGGGGCTATTTGACCAGTATTGGGTGCCGGTGCCCTAGTGGGTGTATGAAACATTGAGACAATAACATTGGCCGTCCATGTGTCCGTCGTAATGATTTACTTGTTGAAACCTCATCGGAAGCCACAATTACCATGAAGCTATAACTAGAAGAGAATTATCCCGACAATGTGTTTTCTAAAACATAAATCAGATCCAATTTTAAAAATGGTGACCACGGCATCCAGATTGAAGGTCTGTGTTGCTGTTGCAGCCATTTCTGCGAGGTTCATCATGGGGTAGTGGGTAGGTTTTTAAGCCGCCTTGAACATTATTCCAGTTATATTACGGCGCATGTATCGTTGTGAAAGTTTACAGGCAAACCGTTGGGAATACCCAGGCTGAAATGTGTGGAATACCCACACACTGATTGGAATAATATTTTGAAGTCTATCAATGTTACTTTTTATGTTTCAGATCGGGATCAATGTTCCTGATGATCGACGTGGATACAGTCAATGGAGGGCTGAAACTGAACCCAGACTTTGCAGTCGACTATGGGCTGGAACCTGCCGGACCAGTGTTCGCCCACGAAATTCGGTACCCGGGTGGAGACTGTACGTCCGATATCTGGCTGTAAATCCTACCAGTCGTCCTTGATATTATCACATGCGCAATACTGGACCAGACACACAGATTTAGTTATTTTCATAGACTTAGTTGTGTGCATGTTTGTGTCAATAAATCCTCGGACAATATAGGATTGATCACTAACGATGATGTAACAATGTTATGTAGAAACTAATAAAGATTGATAAAGAACATATTCACAACTAAAGGTATCCTGAGCATCAGTACATTGAGGATGTCACACACACACACACACACACACGCACGCACGCACGCACGCACGCACGCACGCACGCACGCACGCACGCACACACACACACACACACATAAACACACTCACACACAGAGGGATAACACTGTAAGCATGTGTATGACTTCGAATATGTACATTTTATTCAATGAGGATGTCTTACACACACACACACACACACACACGCACACACACACACACACACACACACATAAACACACTCACACACACACACACACACACACACACACACACACACACACACACGCGCACACACACACACATAAACCCACACACTCACACACACACACACACAGAGGGATAACACTGTAAGCATGTGTATGTCTTCGAATATGTACATTATATTCATTACTGCATGTTAGTAACTCTCATTTATTTCATGTAAACGCAACAACTTACAGAAACGTTTTCTGTGCATTGAATAACACCATGGTTAAATAAAGAAATATTAATTGGGAACTCTTCGTATATTTTAAAGCACACCCCACTTTGATACTGCCTAACGCATGCTTTGTGCATGTGTATCCTCTTAATTAGACCGACACCACACCCATTCATAGCCTTTGTCTCAAGCAGTGGTAGAATTTTCTGCTGGCCCATTTCAAGCGATAAGAAGAAAATGAAGGTTTGCTGATTCATTTAACTTATTGGTCCTTCGGTCAGTGGATTTGGGCTTGTTGATGTGTTGATAGTCTTTACTCACAAATGTTTATGTTATTAATCGATGTCTGCAGCTTTCAAAATATGCTTATTGGCCCATTTTGGATTTTAGGGTCAGTTAATTTTGACACCAGTTGCCTTTATGTAATTACTTGACATATCAATATTATATTCCAAAAACATGTCCCTGACTACAAAAAGGCTGATCACACAAATCACACACACCACATCGCTACATTTGCGATGAAAGGTGAGCTTCTGTACCTCCGATGAAAATTCTCCCATGTTTCAGACTCACGTAAGCAGGAGAAACATTAATTTTGTATAAAACAGGGGGTTATTCGTGGCAATTTCACGCTCTGACAAATGTCGTCTCAAAGAAGACTTACTCCCCTTTCGAAGCTAAAGGGCAAGCACTTGTCAATACAACACAGCTACAAACAAATATAACATTCCTTTTCATGTTGTGGTAAATTGTTTCTTGGCCAAAGTGAACCATTCCATCTTTCTTGACAAGACATCAATAAATGAGTGCTTACCAATATCGACTGTGCCAATGAACAATGTTGGTTAATAAAGTACAATCCATGCCATTGTAAATCGCTTCTCGGCTGAAGAAAGTCAATGGTGCATCACATCGTTAAAAGAGTGCTTATATCTTTTAAAGAGTGCTTATACCCGTAGGAAAACAACAAAAGCCCATCATAAAGGTCCAAGGGGACGAAGTACATATTCTCTATGATCACACGAATTACAAAGTACATGTAGATGTGCAGCTTACTGAGATTGTTTTATGTACCATGGCAACGGGAGGAATATTCCAATGTTTTGAATAAGCTTAAGTGGCTTAAACACACCAACGTGCAAAAATAATGGTTTGTCTGTTTTGCATGTTCAAAATAATAAAACATTCTGTTGTTATCAAGGCGTGTTTTACAGTATTGTTTTACAAAGTAAGAGTTGAGTGAATGAGTGAGTGAGTTGAGTAAATTAGTAGCTTTTATCTCCACAGAAAGCTTACATGAACTATATCTTAATGTGACTCGCCCGTCTCAACTGACGCAACCATGGTATGAGGCAAGCGCTTGACTATACTTCTGATATATAAATAATAGACCTGCACAGTTTTTTTTCAACCTAAAGCATGTGGCTGTTAGCTTAAAACGGTTTGCAGGTTTGATTCCGTCAACTGATATCTTTTCTGACCTTCCAGTTATTATATTAAAGTTAAATATAGAAAATACGTTTGCCACAGTCACAATGTGGTTTCAAATATTTTGGAGTCAGATCTAAAAAACGAGAACCCCATGGCCAAAAACACTCAAGAGAATACTTGAACTGACACTGATGTTTTCTGTAACCACAAACTTTTTTATGCCAGAAAATCGATCTAAGCATTTATAAAAATAGGTTCATTTATCAAGGGCTTTTAATGGAACTAAAATGTCCTAATTGCAATTTCTAACCCTGGTAGTGTTTATCTAATTATCGTTTAAGAGCATGAATATCCCACTCTACGAATCTCCAAGGTTGAGCGTTTGATGTTGGCAGTCCAACCTGAACTTAACACGGTGCTTTGACTTGCTCCAATCTTACAGTTGTTGACGAGCAGTGCCTTGTTGAAGCTGAAGGCTGTACACCCGGGGCTCTGCAGACACCAGATGCTGCACGTGGTTGCCGAAGGAGCCGTCATCGTGTCAGTTGGAGTCGCCAGGGTGTGGCCACGCACGGCCTTATAGGCAGCTCCTGCAATGACGTGTGTCAGTGACATTAACTTAGGACTGTTGAGTTTGGTGCAGCGTCTGTCTTTAAACATAATTATGTTTGTATACATCTGGATCTGTTAAGGGCCATTGAAGAACTGTGCGGATTCTTATGTGGGCAGAAGGGTATCCGGCTTGAGAGAAAGGCAGAGAATGTGGATCGAAGAGTCTGTACATTCGCCTTCCTTCTACACCCACGCCACAGACGGACATACATTACACACACAGGCACACACACACACAGAAAGACATATATTGCACACACAGATACACCCCCACCCCTACTGACATTACACACACAGACACAGACACAGACACACACGCACGCACGCACGCACCCCCTCCCCCCCCCCCCTCATCCCCCCCCCCATCCCCCCCCCCCCCCCCCCCCCCCCCCCCCCCCCCCACACACACACACACACACATAGACATTACACACACATAGACATTACACACACAGACACACACACACACGAGCCTGGCATATCAAGGTTGTTGTAAAGCTTAGTAATACGTCTGGCATATATTCGTAAAATCCCCATGTTTGTAGATGAGATATCCATTTAGTTTACCCTACTCGGCAAGTAACCAAGACTATTCATGAAAGGTTGCATGCTGTTCATGAGAAGGCTGGCAAATCATATGCCACAATTACACTTTGGGTGAAGGAATGGTCAAGGACCAGGAAGACCTTCAACATATAGACATTCCACATGAGATATCGCATGGATGAGAGCTATCAATATTTACAATGAAATTACATTACGATGCTTTGCAGACTATTCAGCTAACACGTACATGTACGTACATACACTGCATCGTAAATACACTGAAACATGGAGATATATGTATATTCCCTGAAACTAGGAGATACACGTACACTGCAACATGGAGATACACATACACTGCAACATGGAGAAACACGTACACTGAAACATGGAGATACACGTACACTGCAACGTGGAGGTACACGTACACTGCAACATGGAGGTACACGTACACTGCAACACGGAGATTCACGTACACTCCAATATGGAGATACACATACACTGCAATATGGAGATACACGTACACTGCAACATGGAGGTACACGTACACTGCAACACGGAGATACACGTACACTGCAATATGGAGGTACACGTACACTGCAACATGGAGATACACGTACACTCCAATATGGAGATACACGTACACTGCAATATGGAGGTACACGTACACTGCAACATGGAGATACACGTACAGTGCAACATGGATATACCCGTACACTGCAACACGGAGATACACGTACACTGCAACATGGAGATACACGTACACTCCAATATGGAGATACACGTACACTGCAATATGTAGGTACACGTACACTGCAACATGGAGATACACGTACAGTGCAACATGGATATACCCGTACACTGCAACACGGAGATACACGTACACTGCAACATGGAGATACACGTACACTGCAATATGGAGATACACGTATATACACTGCAACATGGAGCTACACGTACACTGCAACATGGAGATACACGTATACTGCAATATGGAGATACACGTACACTGCAACATGGAGAAACACGTACAGTGCAACATGGAGATACACGTATACAACATGGAGATACACGTACACTGCAATATGGAGATACACGTACACTGCAACATGGAGATACACGTACACTGCAACACGGATATACACGTATATACACTGCAACATGGAGATACACGTACACTGCAATATGGAGATACACGTACACTGCAACATGGAGATACACGTATATACACTGCAACATGGAGATACACGTACACTGCAACATGGAGAAACACGTACAGTGCAACACGGAGATACACGTACACTGCAACATGGAGATACACGTACACTGCAACATGGAGATACACGTACACTGCAACACGGATATACCCGTACACTGCAATATGGAGATACACGTACACTGTATCATCGAGATACACGTATGTACACTGCAACATGGAGATGTCTTTATATTTTAAATCTCTCAGTTGGATAAACGAGGTAATATCTCCCCGTCAGAGCGTCAGTTCCACAATATGTCAAACCCACCTGAAGACGATGGAGTTGGTACTGGTGTTGTGGTAGCGACAGACGCAGGGGAAGATGTAACGGGGGATGGCACCACAGGAGGAGTCGTATCTTTGGCGCAGAATACAAGAAAACCATATGGATTGATTGACAGAAAACATTGTTTAGCAAACATGTACAGGCACATACACTTAAAAACACTGTGGCATTTACACTGCAACATAAACATGTAAGTACGTACTTATATACCGCAACATTAAATATATACTAATCAATATAGAGATGTAGGTTACAGCAATATTTAGGTATATACACTGCAACATCCATGTGCATTTTCCATGTCTATATACTATAACACTCTTAGTTGGTGGGCGGTTGGGAAGCCGAGTGGTTAAAGCGTTCGCAGACCCCGGTTCGCTTCCATACATGGGTACAATGTGTGAAGCTCATTTCTGGTGTCCATCGCCGTGATATTGCGGGAATATTGCTAAAAGCGGCGTAAACCCATACTCACTCACTCGTTCTTAGATGGGACAGATAAAAGTCAGGGCGATAATTCCACAAAGTGTCAAACCCACCTGGAGACACTGTAGTCGGTACTGGTGTTGTGGTAGTCACAGTCGCAGGGGATGATGGCATATTAGAGGTCGTCCCTTTAGTTGAATGAGAAAATTATACACAGTAGTTGATTAAATACACCTCTCAACATGAACTAAGCTAATCTTTCCTCTTTGTTTAAACGTTCATAATATAATTTGTTTCAGTGCGATAAAATATGAATCAACGCTATGATCTATGGGAAAAGCGAACACCGACTATGACAACTATTTTGAAAAGACTCCCTTAAAATTCTTTCCAGTATGTAACACAATATAATGGGTGGTAAACGCCACATTTAGACAGCATTACAGCTTATGAATAACTGAATGACTCAGTTAACTATCACTGGAAATGTTGTTGTGTGATGCTGGAATTGAAGATCGTCTCAGTGCACATGACTGCTCTCTCATTGTATTTGTCCATTAGCTATCTTGGTTGTTCTAAAGTGTCCGTGTTGTGACATATTTTATGAAAAGGGGACAAATCAGTTAATGAGGTGAGGTGAGGTGAAATGGGGTTTAACGTCGCGTCCACGATTATTGAACTTATATAGCGACGTGCTATGTGCGTGCGTGCGTGCGTGCGTGCGTGCGTGCGTGCGTGTGTGGCTGCTTGTACTAGTCCGGACTGATGCCGATTTTATTTAAATTACTTTTTGAGACTTTGATATTATTACATACAAGATAAAAATAGTCAGTAATCTTATCACTATAGCCCCTGGCAATATAACAAACTATAAATTAATGATGAAAATAAGGGAACCAATAATATGATTATAGCTATTGTTGAAGTGTAGAGTTACAATACCGCTGCGTTTCAACTGAACGCAACATCTAATCACAATAGAGTTTCACAATGTGCATGAACAACACGCGATGCATGTGCATGTGCACACAGAAGTGTGTGCTCTAACAATTACTAATGCGATTGAGCTAAGCACACGCTTCAAATGCCTCCGGGACAGTATTTCAGGAACCGGACAAAATGGCGAATTGTAGGTATGAGAGAGGGGAGGGGGCGCAAATATCCCAACTTGCCAGAATGAATGGCAAATCAAAAAGTGTAATTTCTAGACTGTGGGACAAGTACCGTCAAACGGGTGGGGGTTGTTATGATACCTGGTCGTGTCAAGACTACATAAACGACAACCTGAAAGCCTGACCCGAACAGGCTTCCATAGGCAGCAAAGATCTGGTTGTGGTAGGCAACACCAGGGACGGGCTGGGCGCCAATGGCGTTACACAATGTTTACTGACGAATGATACGCAAGTTAATCAACAGTCTGCCATCAAAGTGTCGTGCATGTATCGCCCAACATGGTGGACACACCAGACATGGATCTTCACGCTCAAAATTAATTTTACAGAAGTCATTACACATTTCATCAGTTCCCTTATTTTATGTCGGTAGTATATATACTAAAATTGGGAGAGAATATCATGACCGCATACTCTCTGTCTGTCTCTCTCTTGTGGTTGTGACAGTCGCAATAGAAGATGACGTCACAGAGGTTGATCCTTCAGACGAAAAGATGATGAGTGAGTGAGTGAGTGAGTGAGTTGGGTTTAACGTCGCTTTTAACAGTGTTCCAGTTATATCACGGCGTGTCAGCTTAATGTGGGAGGAAAGCCCGAAGTGATGCAGGTCTCAGACGTTTACCACTTCGGTGAAACCCACGAGCACGGGTATGGTGCTGACAAACCAAGAAACATAATCGGGGTGAACCGGGATTCGAACCCACAATCATAGGTTTCTGGCGTTTCCAAGGGACGCAACTCTGCACAGCGAATCGCGGCGCCTTAGACGACTGGGCCACCCGTGCCCCCAAAAGATGATGAAATACAGTAAATGGCAAAGAACATTGTTCTTCATGAACTAAATATGATCATTCCCTCATGATTTAGCAGCCATAACAAAACAATGCGTCACCCCACAAAGTGATAAGAAACATAATAAATTCTATGAAAGGCATTTAGAAGTGATACACATATATGTAAGGAAGAGAATTTATGGATGTTTACGGAGTATATGCTTACTCCTTCATCATGTGAATGAATGCAATGAGACAGAGTGTATATATATATATATATGAAAGGACAACAAAAGTAATAAGACAATAAAAGGTGAAACTTAACAAGGGAAGCCAACCGGTAATTGACGCTGATAGGCGATTAGCAATGGACAATGGAGGCCAACACTTTACAGTAATTAGCGCTGATAATTATGGACAATAGAATCGAAGACTAAAATTATCACTGATTTGTAAATGGCAATGGACAATGGGCAAACGGAAGGCCGGGGGTAATTAGCACTGATAGGTAAGTGAACATTATTTATTATTTAAAAAGCTAATGTCGATTATGACAGAACAGGACAAGGCTGAATAGATTTCACAGAGTTACTCATATTCATGTCATCACGTATCATTTTTACATCTTGGTTGTCAGCACCATACCCATGCCGTGGGTTTCACCGAAGTGGTTAACGTCTGAGACCTGCATCACTTCGGGCTTTCCTCCCACATTAAGCTGGCACGCCGTGATATAATTGGAATAATGTTAAAAGCGGCGGTAATTCCTCACTCGCTCACTCATTTTCACAACCTATTTTCGATTGTGGAATCATCACGTATTATTAAATTTTCGTCCTGATGGAAATAATGTTCCCTATCCCAGATGTTTCCCAAACACAAAGTGAAAATTCTTTCCCTCTGGACATATATTTCATATCAGTTTGAAGTTATTATATCTTATCACGCAGATATCAATCAATGAAAACACCTACAGTTTTATCATTTATTCCTATCCACAACAGGTAAACAACAAAACGACATCATGTTTGAAGATTGAAATGCAATATAGTATTTTCATAATGCATTAATGTAATTCAGAAAGGCTATATTGCCAATATACTTTTATACTAATCTATCGCAGTATAACAAATTCCCTGTTTAAGGAAAGGATCCTCCTGCAGATTAGAAAACTATTCATGCGCAATAAACAGTGAGTTCAAGTTTGGCTTCAGATAGTACACTGATAGATCACCAAATAGATCCACTATCTTCGATTAAGGAATCACATTTTGCAAAAGTGTATTTTATAGTACTTTAAGAAAACTTCAATGTAATATCAAGTGTATACTGACGAAATGATTTTTGTCAGATGCTTATTACATTAGGAATATTTTTTCTGGGACCTTGAAGTTAAACACCTTACCAACGATAGTGATGCTGAACTCTTAAGAGATAAAGCATGACGATTAGAGCTGCTACTTTTAATATTTGATTTTATTAGACGGAAAACTGCAGACCGGCATCCCGCTCCGGAACCACATTCCCCTCCTCAATACGGTTTTAATGTTTTGCTGATCTGTTTCGATACTTTTATAAATGTCTTCATTTTGCACAGTGAGGACTCGGTCGCACATTCAGGATTTTGATAGGACCATTCCCGATTAAAATTTGTCCAAAGTCTGATCAAGTTCCTGTGATTCGTGGCGGGAAATTTACAAACAATCAGCTATTGTTCAGGAAGCGTCCCGATTCAGTCGTTTCCAGCCGAATTCGTCCCGATACACAATCCGAATCTGATCCGATTTGTATTTGTAAAAAACGACCGACAGCGTCCCGATTCACCCGAATGCGATCCGACAGAGAGATCCGACAAAGACGGTTCGCATTCGGCAAGATCTGGACGCAATCTGAACTCAGTCGACAAGAAACGGCCCGTTCATCACAACAGCGTCCCGATCCACAGGACACCGTCCAGACAACACAGGACATTTTGTTACGATTTTAATCCGATACAGCTGAATCTGTCACGACATAGTCACGGTTGTACATGTAATCCGACTAGACAAAATCGGCTGAGTTTCCCGAATGTTACGGGACGCACCATATTGTCGGGAGTGCTTGGCCGACCTCTCTGGACCTTTCCCGATCCGTAGGACTCTGTTACGAACGTATACGACTGCGTTCAGCCAATGATAGGACATTCCAGATCATTGAGAATAATAATCAATTTTTTTCACTTTTCGTGTCGTAGCGCTGTCTGATCTCAAACGGGAGCCATAATCGGCACTGTGTGAACCTGGCCTAAGGAATAGTACAAAACAGTCATACACGCCTAAAACACATTAATGAAAGTCATGCATGTTAGTATTAGCAATTATTCCCTTCGTAAATCTCTAAACAGGCTGTGAGTGAGTGAGTTTAGTTTTTCGACGTATTTCGCAATTTTCCAACAATATCACTGAGGAGCACACTCACTGTCGGAAACCTGACTGAGGTCTTCGGCGTGGTGATCGAACGCTTTAACCACTAGCCTGCCGCCTGGCGACCGAAAACATAATATATTCAACAATATTTGAGACTTACCTTCAGACACCGACTGTACTGAGTCCTCTACATACACTTTTATCTCATTAAGAGAAAGTGGGGGAAGGTCGGTGGATACACGGACGTATCGTACTGTAAACAGCCTCTGGCAGGTGAATGTCGTGGTACCTTCACCGATACTCTGACCGCACAGGAAAGTATGGGCAGAATCAAAACTCGAATCCGAGGAGAGGGAAATTGTTCTGTTCTCCGCCATCTCCCTTCCTGTATAACAAATATTTCAGTACTGGGTGAAAGACTGGGGTTAACACTGCTTTGAACATAATTGAATTTACATAGGCTGCTCAATGCCGGAGGAAACGCTGCTTTGAACATCAAGTCAGTTATATCACGGCATGTCAGCTTGTCAAGGGACGCAACTCTGCACAGCGACTGGCGGCGCCAAAGACGACTGGGCCACCCGTGCCCCCTCCTCTGACATTAACCGTTAATATAAGAGAACACATTATCAAGGCGTAGTTAAATATTAACTCATGTAATGAGATGTAATATAATTACCATAGAACGGAAAGAAGATGGTTATTTGTTTGACGTGATGGTTGTTTTCTAAATCAATTTGCCAGTAGGCGTGTCCGGTCGGAGTGTAATCGGACACAAAATATGTCTCCGAGCTTCCATCAATCGCGAGTTCTGGTGGGAATCCTTCATGCACTGAGCTCACACTCAATGGTTTCCCTGTTAGGTTTACTGAAACAAAACCAGAAATATATGTACCATGTTATCGTGAAAATCATTCGGCAAAATCCGGCGGTCATATGATTGTGAGGCCTTTCACTCAAAACAGAAATCGTATCAATACAAGAACTCGCAATATATATGTGCACCCAACTCATACAGATACGTACCAAAGAGGGACAGGTCAGACAAAATTGCTGAGGCAAAAGCCGACCTCTTAAACATTTAAAACAACAACAACAATATGTTGTAACTCCAGGTATCGCTAGACCGTTTATAGGTGGTAATGCTACTTGTGTGGTCTTTCGAAACAGATGTTTCGTTCGTAAGTAATTACGGGTCACTGTTAATCTAATACTGAATTACTCTGGTTGTATTAAGCTAAACTTATTATCAAGCGTTCTTCATACTTTGTTTTTCTAGTAATCCGTGGGTAACCAACTTTCCTGCGATTGTCTATTTTAGGCCAAATACCTAATTGAAAATGAGCTAGCTGAGCACAGAAATGTCAGTGCTGCATTTTCTTCCTTTATGGATTTGGTTACAAGTGAAATGGATGCTAAATTGAAGAAGACTAAGAGAAATAATTCAACCTGTAAATCAACATGTAAATCAAAGTACAAGCCTTGCTGGTCTGATGTGTTACAGAATATGTGGGATGACGTGTGTAGATCTAAAAGGAATGGCTGGCATGTAGTAGGAACTCTGTTATTAAAGGTGTGTCGTCGTCATTTTCTGGGCAAAAGAAAACTTTGATAAAGCATTAAGAAAAGCTAAACAAAATTGTCAACTAGGACAACAGGATGAAATACTGAAGTTCGAGCAGAATGGTTATTGCAAAGAATTCTGGAAAAGAATTTTGGTCACTTGGGCCTTTCTTACGACAGAAAACAGAGTATACCTATGGAGCTCGAGGTGTTTGATGAAAATGGTGACGTCATAACCGAACATAATCGAGTGATCTCCCACAAGAAGGATTCCTACAATAATCTACTTAATAATGGTTTGACAGGAACGTTTGATGATGAACATTATAGTAACACACAACAACACCTATCTACAGGACAAGAGCTACCTGGTAATGATGCTAATGATGGACAACCAGACATAACAGACTTAAACAAACCAATTGATTTGCCTGAAGTACAGTTAGAAGGCAGTTATGAGTATTAAGAAGGGAAAAGCAACTGGCATAGATGGTATACCAAATGAAGTGCTTCAGAACCCACACTGTGTTGTCTTTTGAAAATGCAGTTTCACCACATGGTTGGAGGGAAGGACTAAACCACAATCAGGACGTGAACCAAGAGATTCACTTTGATATAGAGTGCTGACAATGATTTCTATCCCATGTAAAGTACTGCTTTATTAAATCAACGAATCCAAACGTGGCTTGAAAAGAATAAACTTTTGGCCGAAGAACAAAATGGATTTAGACCCTAACGGAGTTGTATGGATCACTTATATGTGTTGTGTAATATCACACAGAACAGAAAATTGTGTACACAATCAACTTTTGTATGCTTTGTTGGCATGCAAAAGGAGTTGGACACTGTGAACAGACATTGTTTGTGGTATGAATTAAGGAAAATTGTAATTTATGATAAGATTCTCGATGCTATACAGAGCCTATACACAGATTATTACTGCAGTGTTAATATAAATAACTTTAATACAGAAGTATTCCCAGTCTCGTTTGGAGTAAAACAGGGATTTAAGATGTCACCAACCCTATTTTCGATCTACATCAACGATCTTCCTGATGAAATTAATATGTTACATTGTGGTGTGCAATTTGACGAAGCTACCCTATCAGTATTGTTTCATGCAGATGTCATTGCCCTAATTGCACCGGACCGTGTGTCACTACAAAGAATACTGGATATTCTAAGTAAATGGTGTCAAAAATGGAGACTGGTAATCAACAAGGACAAAACTAAGGTTATTCACTTCAGGAATGGATCCACAAAAACAACACCTGTTAATTGTCACTGTGGCTCCGATGACCTGTGTATCACTGACGGCTATAGATATCTCGGTATATGGCTTAATGAACATTTAGATATGAAAAAGACTATTTATGTAAGGAATTATGTAAGTATGCTGGGAGAGCACTATCAGCTTTATACACTAAAGTTATTAGTGCTGGTGGGATGTCTTATGAAGTTTATACCAAATTATACACCTCACTTGTTGAACCAGTCTTGTTCTAATGTTGCAGGAGTATGGGGTGCAAATGTGCACAAGGAGATCCAGGCCATCCAAAATAAAGCATGTAGATACACGTACAGTGCTACATAGAGATACACGTACACTGCAACATGGAGATAAACCTACACTGCAACATGGAGATACACGTACACTGCAACATGGAGATACACGTACAGTGCTACATAGAGATACACGTACAGTGCTACATAGAGATACACGTACACTGCAACATGGAGATACATGTACACTGCAACATGGAGATACATGTACACTGCAACATGGAGATACACGTACACTGCAACATGGAGATACACGTACACTGCAACATAGAGATACACGTACACTGCAACATGGAGATACACGTACACTGCAACATGGAGATACACGTACACTGCAACATAGAGATACACGTACAGTGCTACATAGAGATACACGTACACTGCAACATGGAGATACATGTACACTGCAACATGGAGATACACGTACACTGCAATATGGAGATACACGTACAGTGCTACATAGAGATACACGTACACTGCAACATGGAGATACACGTACACTGCAACATGGAGATACACGTACACTCCAATATGGAGATACACGTACACTGCTACATAGAGATACACGTACACTGCAACATGGAGATACATGTACACTTCAACATGGAGATACACGTACACTGCAACATGGAGATACATGTACACTGCAACATGGAGATACACGTACACTGCAACATGGAGATACACGTACACCGCAACATGGAGATACACGTACACTGCAACATAGAGATACACGTACACTGCAACATAGAGATACACGTACACCGCAACATGGAGATACACGTACACTGCAACACGGATATACCCGTACACTGCAATATGGAGATACACATACACTGCAACACGGATATACCCGTACACTGCAACATGGAGATACACGTACAGTGCAACACGGAGATACCCGTACACTGCAACACGGATATACCCGTACACTGCAATATAGAGATACACGTACACTGCAACATGGATATACCCGTACACTGCAATATGGAGATACACATACACTGCAACATGGAGATACGCGTACACTGCAACATGGAGATACACGTACACTGCAACATGGAGATACACATACACTGCAACACGGAGATACACGTACACTGCTACATGGAGATACACGTACACTGCTACATGGAGAAACACGTACACTGCAACATGGAGATACACGTACACTGCAACATGGAGAAACACGTACACTGCAACACGGATATACCCGTACACTGTATCATGGAGATACACGTACACTGCAACATGGATATACCCGTACACTGTATCATGGAGATACACGTACACTGCAACATGGAGATACACGTACACTGCAACATGGAGAAACACGTACACTGCAACACGGATATACCCGTACACTGTATCATGGAGATACACGTACACTGCAATATGGAGATACACGTACACTGCAACACGGAGATACACGTACACTGTATCATGGAGATACACGTACACTGTATCAAGGAGATACACGTATGTACACTGCAACATGGAGATGTCTTTATATTTTAAATCTCTCAGTTGGATAAACGAGGTAATATCTCCCCGTCAGAGCGTCAGTTCCACAATATGTCAAACCCACCTGAAGACGATGGAGTTGGTACTGGTGATGTGGTAGCGACAGACGCAGGGGAAGATGTAACAGGGGATGGCGCCACAGGAGGAGTCGTATCTTTGGCGCAGAATACAAGAAAACCATATGGATTGATTTACAGAAAACATTGTTTAGCAAACATGTACAGGCACATACACTTAAAAACACTGTGGCATTTACACTGCAACATAAACATGTAAGTACGTACTTATATACCGCAACATTAAATATATACTAATCAATATAGAGATGTAGGTTACAGCAATATTTAGGTATATACACTGCAACATCCATGAGCATTGTCCATGTCTATATACTATAACACTCTTAGTTGGTGGGCGGTTGGGAAGCCAAGTGGTTAAAGCGTTCGCAGACCCGGGTTCGCTTCCCGACATGGGTACAATGTGTGAAGCTCATTTCTGGTGTCCATCGCCGTGATATTGCGGGAATATTGCTAAAAGCGGCGTAAAACCATACTCACTCACTCGTTCTTAGTTGGGACAGATAAAAGTCAGGGCGATAATTCCAAAAAGTGTCAAACCCACCTGGAGACACTGTAGTCGGTGCTGGTGTTGTGGTAGTCACAGTCGCAGGTGATGATGGCATATTAGAGGTCGTGCCTTTAGTTGAATGAGAAAATTATACACAGTAGTTGATTAAATACACCTCTCAACATGAACTAAGCTAATCTTTCCTCCTTGTTTAAACGTTCAAAATATAATTTGTTTCAGTGCGATAAAATATGAATCAACGCTATGATCTATGGGAAAAGCGAACACCGACTATGACAACTATTTTGAAAAGACTCCCTTAAAATTCTTTCCAGTATGTAACACAATATAATGGGTGGTAAACGCCACATTTAGACAGCATTACAGCTTATGAATAAATGAATGACTCAGTTAACTATCACTGGAAATGTTGTTGTGTGATGCTGGAATTGAAGATCGTCTCAGTGCACATGACTGCTCTCTCATATTTGTATTTCTCCATTAGCTATCTCGGTTGTTCTAAAGTGTCCGTGTTGTGACATATTTTATGAAAAGGGGACAATTCAGTTAATGAGGTGAGGTGAGGTGAAATGGGGTTTAACGTCGCGTCCACGATTATTGAACTTATATAGCGACGTGCTGTGTGCGTGCGTGCGTGCGTGCGTGTGTGGCTGCTTGTAGTAGTCCGGACTGATGCCGATTTTATTTAAATTACTTTTTGAGACTTTGATATTATTACATACAAGATAAAAATAGTCAGTAATCTTATCACTATAGCCCCTGGCAATATAACAAACTATAAATTAATGATGAAAATAAGGGAACCAATAATATGATTATAGCTATTGTTGAAGTGTAGAGTTACAATACCGCTGCGTTTCAACTGAACGCAACATCTAATCACAATAGAGTTTCACAATGTGCATGAACAACACGCGATGCATGTGCATGTGCACACAGAAGTGTGTGCTCTAACAATTACTAAAGCGATTGAGCTAAGCACACGCTTAAAATGCCTCCGGGACAGTATTTCAGGGACCGGACAAAATGGCGAATTGTTGGTATGAGAGAGGGGAGGGGACGCAAATATCCCAACTTGCCAGAATGAATGGCAAATCAAAAAGTGTAATTTCTAGACTGTGGGACAAGTACCGTCAAATGGGTGGGGGTTGTTATGATACCTGGTCGTGTCAAGACTACATAAACGACAACCTGAAAGCCTGACCCGAACAGGCTTCCATAGGCAGCAAAGATCTGGTTGTGGTAGGCAACACCAGGGACGGGCTGGGCGCCAATGGCGTTACACAATGTTTACTGACGAATGATACGCAAGTTAATCAACAGTCTGCCATCAAAGTGTCGTGCATGTATCGCCCAACATGGTGGACACACCAGACATGGATCTTCACGCTCAAAATTAATTTTACAGAAGAAGTCATTACACATTTCATCAGTTCCCTTATTTTATGTCGGTAGTATATATACTAAAATTGGGAGAGAATATCATGACCGCATACTCTCTGTCTGTCTCTCTCTTGTGGTTGTGACAGTCGCAGGGGATGGTTCAATAGAAGATGGCGTCACAGAGGTTGATCCTTCAGACGGAAAGATGATGAAATACAGTAAATGGCAAAGAACATTGTTCTTCATGAACTAAATATGATCATTCCCTCATGATTTAGCAGCCATAACAAAACAATGCGTCACCCCACAAAGTGATAAGAAACATAATAAATTCTATGAAAGGCATTTAGAAGTGATACACATATATGTAAGGAAGAGAATTTATGGATGTTTACGGAGTATATGCTTACTCCTTCATCATGTGAATCAATGCAATGAGACAGAGTGTATATATATATATATATGTAAGGACAACAAAAGTAATAAGACAATAAAAGGTGGAAACTTAACAAGGGAAACCAACCGGTAATTGACGCTGATAGGCGATTAGCAATGGACAATGGAGGCCAACACTTTACAGTAATTAGCGCTGATAATTATTGACAATGGAAGCCAATACTTAAATTATCACTGATTTGTAAATGGCAATGGACAATGGGCAAACGGAAGGCCGGGGGTAATTAGCACTGATAGGTAAGTGAACATTATTTATTATTTAAAAAGCTGATGTCGATTATGACAGAACAGGACAAGGCTGAGTAGATTTCACAGAGTTCCTCATATTCATGTCATCACGTATCATTTTCACATCTTGGTTGTCAGAATCATACCCGTGCTCGTGGGTTTCACCGAAGTGCATCACTTCGGGCTTTCCTCCCACACTAAGCTGGCACGCCGTGATATAATTGGAATAATGTTAAAAGCGGCGGTAAACCCTCCTCACTCGCTCACTCATTTTCACAACCTATTTTCGATTGTGGAATCATCACGTATTATTAAATTTTCGTCCTGATGGAAATAATGTTCCCTATCCCAGATGTTTCCCCAAACACAAAGTGAAAATTCTTTCCCTCTGGACATATATTTCATATCAGTTTGAAGTTATTATATCTTATCACGCAGATATCAATCAATGAAAACACCTACAGTTTTATCATTTATTCCTTATCCACAACAGGTAAACAACAAAACATCATGTTTGAAGATTGAAATGCAATAAAGTATTTTAATAATGCATTAGTGTAATTCAGAAAGGCTATATTGCCAATATACTTTTATACTAATCTATCGCAGTATAACAAATTCCCTGTCCTGCAGATTAGAAAACTATTCATGCGTAATAAACAGTGAGTTCAAGTTTGGCTTCAGATAGTACACTGATAGATCACCAAAGGATCATGAACAAAAAGGCGAAACCTTTTATGTGAATTGGGTGAATATGTTGCTCGGCTATCGCGGAAACATCCCAGTAGATAACCAATAAACCTGATGTCAACAGTGCAGCTTGCTCTTTGTCGCTTTTCAGAACATTTTAAATGATAACTTGCCGATGTCCCGGGATTTGAATTATGTATCATATAAGTTAACAGGTCCAACGTGAGCAGCAATCCCACATTCTTTCAAATTACTAATCTAAAACTGTCAAACGTTCAGCGAAATTAATGATCAGCTACATATGCAATGGATCAGAAATATGTAATTCTGACGGCCCAAACAAAACTACCAAAACGAAAAAAGGAAATTGGTAAAAACACTCATCTTTAAACATCTTTTGCAGAACCATAACCTAATACCACTACGTTGTTGATCGAGAATAATTTAGGATAATTGCTTCCTTTAATGTCTGATGCCTTTCCCTATTTGGATTTTGACATATGTCCCCCATGTCCTTTCATGTGATCAATATAGCTACCGTTGCATATCTTGTGCAGGGCTATACTGGTGGGGAAGAATACGTTCATAAGAACATGGCTATTTCTTATGATTTGAGACAGGGATCTGTTGCCTGTATTTACTATTTAGTTAAAATCTGACTATTTTCTACATTTACAGTGGTTTGAAAGATGACCATTCCGAGGGCGACGAAACATGTGTATATAAGGAAACATTCAAATCTATACATGTCTTTGACTGTTAGGTTTCTTTTCGGATATCAAATAGTATGTAGGTGTAACGGTTTTTCCGTGTCACATCACCTGAACTAAAACATCGTAACATCTCAGTATATACTCGATCATGGTGAATCTCAAATTGATTTATTTTGATTTAACAAGGGTCTGGAAGGGTCTGTCTGAGAGACAATTTTAAATGGTCTGTGAGGCTAGCAGACGAATGATCGTAAATAATCTCTGATTCGACCTTTTAATAATATATTGACGTAAACAGGAACTTGACGTACGAAAGCAAAATACATTTAGCCCCTAAGCAATACTATATAATACATCGTGTGTTTGGGTCGTATATTTGATCTTGTGTCTTGATAGCTGTATTATCCGATGAAATACAATTCCTAATATGAAACAGTCGCCTGGTGCCTCGTGTCCATATTGTGCCAGAATGTATCTAACATAGCATTTCTAATTGCGTTTCCGGAGCAGCACTAAAACACCATGAGAGATATCATAACCAAACTTGACACGTAGATAGGTCTAATGGTGAACTGGTGCCTTTTGCTATTTGGGGATTTTTGACACATTTATTTGAGTATTTCATGCTTGTTTTACACTATTTTCCCACTATTCCTAATCTTGGGCTATTAAAAAATAAATTCATTTTAAGCACGACAGGAAAAACATATTAATCATATTTTTAATGAGTTAACCTCCAACCCGGCCAACACACACTCCTCCCTGTGTTAGAGGGTAATTTAAATAGGGTAAGGGGGTATTTGTTTGAGCACATTATAGTTGCTATTTTTGTGTGTTTTACTTACCCAGAGTTGGTATCTCTTCAAATACCTGAAGTTCATTGATCATGACCTGTAATGCATGATACACTGTTATATACTGTGGTAGAAAGGAGGCAGAACAGTCAAATGTTGAATTCCCTTTGTTGGCGATTTCACCGCACAGGTAGGACAATCCACTGGCGACTGAAGGGTCACTTTCAAAGAGGTGAATGGTGGCACTCACCATGTTCGCTGCAGAGAAAAAGGATGTATTAGGTAGGAGGGATGAGCTGAGTCGCATACAGTCATTTTGGTTGAAGTATATGTCTTATTTCTTTACGAACCCACTATATATTTTCAGCATTGTTATCCAACTCAAGTTTCTTGTTGCATTTTACATCGGTTTCTGACGTCTTGCACAACTCTTGTCATTCATAGTGCGTAATGTCCATAGGGGAACCAAAGTGTTTACCTCATGGCTTCCAGCCCGTGCGTCATTCTTCGAGCAGTCAGAAGGGGTCGTGTGGTACATATTCAGCAATCCATGCTTGCCGGAAAAGGCGACTATGCTTGTCGTAAGAGGCGACTAACGGGATCGGGTGGTCAGGCTCGCTGACTTGGTTGAAACATGTCATCTATTCTTATTGCGTGGATCGATGCTGATGATATTAATCAGTGGATTGTCTGGTCCAGACGCGGTTATTTACAGACCGCCGTCATATAGCTGGAATTTTGCTGAGTGCGGCGTTAAACAACACATCCAACAATCAACCAACATAAGGATCAACTTAACTTTCATAGAATTGTCACCTACAAAGTGGTAAAGAGTTTAAAAAAATCTTCCCTCCGTACCCATTCAGTTTTGGAAAGTCACGAGCAACAAAAGAAAATTCCAAACTGGCCTCATTCCCGGCGTGGGTTGAACGACCTACATGTAAGGTATAGAGACACAAGATATTTACCACTATGGAGAAACACGGCAGTACGCGTCTGGTGCTGTCAAGAATCTTTAAAGGGTGGAATTGGGGATTTGAACCCATAATCATTGGACGTTGACGCGTGTATATTCCTCGCCACTTGAAATAGCATCACGACATATCGATATGGTCATTTAATGAAGATAATTGATGTGTGATAATATACTGAACCAAATTAAAAACTTCACAATCCTAAAATTTTAACATTTTGACCAGTTATCATTGTGGGCCCTTATTGTGTATTTAAACAGTAATGGCCACGTATAGTCTTCAGATAACACCCGTTTTTGTGCAGGTGAATCGATCAAAATCATGTGCACAGCACTGTAGTGGCAAAAGTGGTTTTTCACGTGCAACTAATAACGTGGCAATAATACCGCACGTGTTTTCAGCCCTACTTGTTAGCAGTCATTAACAAAAAAAGAAAAACACAAGAAAACAAAAGTCTTTACGGCCATTTTTCATGCCACGCCTTTCAAATGTGCAACGTGAACGTGCCATCGGCATGTTGCAGACGGGAACGTCCGTAGCTGAAGTCGCAAGGACGATGGGTTGTAGTCGACGGACTGTTTATGATTTACAGACGCGTCTACAGCAAACGGGTACCACTGCTGATCGCCCTCGGCCAGGTCGACCACGTGTGACGTCACATGCAGAGGATCGTCAGATTGTCTCACGTCACCTCCGTAACCGATTTTTGACGGCTGCATCAACCAGAAATGAACTGTTTAGCGGTAGACTGAGTGCGCAAACTGTTCGAAACCGTCTGAGAACTGCTCACCTTCAAGCACGACGGCCATACTACGGGCCGATTCTGACTCAATTACACAGACGTCAACGTCAATTGTGGGCACAGCGATACTTACGATGGACTCAGAGGAATTGGAATCAAGTCGTCTTCAGTGATGAATCCCGATTTAATCTTCGATTTGCTGACGGTAGGGCGAGGGTGTGGAGGCGCCGTCATGAACGTTACGCCCAGTGTTGTGTACAGGAAGTTGACAGATTTCGAGGCGGAAGTGTCACGGTGTGGGTTGCTTTCTGTGGCAATGCACGTTCCAGGCTTCTTGTCATCCGTGGCAACCTCAACGCTGCTGCTTACCGCGACCAGGTACTGGCACCAGAACTTCTGCCTTTTATGGCAGCACATGGACCCGGTTTGATCTTCCAACACGACAATGCCAGACCCCGCACAGCAATTTTGACAAGGAATTCCACTTCAGAATGCGGGAGTCAACGTCATGGACTGGCCGTCAAGGTCTCCCGACCTCAATCCCATCGAACACGTCTGGGATGCTCTTGGCAGAAGTCTGCGCACTCTCCTGAACCAAACACAGAATTTGCAAGATCTTGGCACTATTTTGCAGCAGCAATGGCGTCGTCTTCCCAATCATGTGTTCAATCACAAGGTTCATGCGGAGGCGTTGTGTAGCAGTTGTCAACGCACATGGTGGCCATACACGCTACTGAACTTGTGTGCCATCAGATTCTCGTGCTTGGGACTTATGATTTCAACTGTTGATGTTATTACCGAATACCGTAGGTGCTTGGAACAAATTATGGTTGCCACCGTTAATTAAAATCCTTCTTTGGACATTAATGATTAAAAATTACCTTCTCCGATACATTTGTCCGTTGTATATCATATATGGGATTACTTTTAAAAATGTGAAGTTTTTAATTTTTTGATTTTTTAATTTCTATATACTTTTAAAGTGACCAGAAACCATTTCGCTAGCGTTGATGATTGAGTTGTGGTTACAATCCGGGTGAGAATCGGCAGTCAGGTCACTGCGAGCCGTTAAATTTAGCAGTAAGCAGCAACAATTTAAAGAGGGCCACTGTGTCTGGTGCTTCCAGCCCTGTACTGTAGACACAAATATAACATCTGCGCGTGTTTTTCAGTTCGTGCTGGTAATGTTCGCACGCTACACACGCTGCTAAATACTCGTGTGAAGCCGCTTGCAGTCACGTGGCTCAGCCTGATTGTAACCTTGTGATCAAAACTCACTGATGATGTTTATCACTGGCAAAACGGGTATGTCTTGGAAAGTGCACTTTTCATTTTTTATCAATATGTGAGTAATATTCCTTATCACCGGAATGGCTTGTGTTCACTTTATAAGCATAAGCAAACAAGCATCTTTTTGCATTAGTTAATCATCGCGATATTATATTTTCGTGATTCTGTAAATTTCACGTGGCGCGGACTATTCGGGATGATCTCTGCACAAGAAGTAACATCTCCTCAGATGACTGCCCCCTCAGTGAGCCAGCTTGTGCTGTTCATCATTGCCCGTCCAGGCAGTATTTTAGCAACCCAGCGGGGACACCAACCAATGGCTTGTTGTGGCTTGGCGAATCGAATCGAATTGAGTAAGTGAGTGAGGGAATATGGTTTTACGCATCTTTAGCAGTATTCCAGCAATATCACGGCGGGGGACACCGGAAAATGGGCTTCACACATTGTACCCATGTGGGGAATCGAACCCGGGTCTTCGGCGTGACGAGCCAACGCTTCAACCACCAGGCTACCCCACCGCCCCCGAATCGAATTGAATTAAAGTAACCAACTAGTGACATCTATATAAACTGATAAAAGTTCACGTTTTCAGTAGTGGCTTTGGCTTTATCACTCGAGAAAGCAACTAGCTTGGATGACAAGATCTCGTTCATTTTATTAATGACTTGAAATATTGAAGCAGAAAATGTCAAAAGCATAAGGAAAACAAATAGTTCGAAACTCCTCTGTTCCCTTCTGATATTGCAATACACAGACAGCGGAAGACAGAACGGTAATATTTTGTTCTAACATTTTCACTGAACAGTCAAATCAAATGCAGATGAATGTACTTACAAAAGTCGGGAACCGCAATTAGTATTTTTCTGATGGTGTAAGGTTGCTCTAAATTCAGGATCCAGTAAGCTGTCGATCCTGACTCCGTAACACTCATGGTTGTAAAGTTTCCATCCACTGCTAGCACTGCCGGATGCTGTGGTATTGTAGAACTTTGAGTCACCGGTTTACCGGTTATGTCAACTGAAATAAACAATAGAAACAGATACAAAATGATGAGAGTCAAATGATCGAAATTTGCAACATAATTATGATAATGTAAACTTGCTATATATTTGTCCTTGGGATGAGAACACATCGAAATATCGCCTTGATTTGGATGACTGGTTCCACTATCTTCGACTGGGGAATCAAATTTTGCAAAAGTCAATTTTATAGTACTTTAAGAAAACTTCAATGGAATATTAAGTGTATCCTGAAGAAATGATTTTTGTCAGATGCTTATCACATAAGGAATATATTTTTCTGGGACCTTAGAGTTAAACATCTTACCAACGATGCTGAACTTTTGAGAGCTAAAGCATGACGATTAGAACTGCTACTTTTAATATTTTGATTTTATTGGATGGTCATCCCGCCCCGAAACCACAATCCCCTCCTCAATACGGTTTTGCTGATCTGTTTCAATACCTTTATTAAATTTAATGTCGTGCATATTGCACAGTGAGGGCTCGATCACATATTCAGGATTTTGATAGGACCATTCCCGATTAAAATTTGTCAAAAGCCTGATCAAGATCCTGTGATTCGTGGCGGTAAATTCACAAACAATTAGATATTGTTCACGAAGCGTCCCGATTAAGCCGTTTCAGGCCGAATTCGTCCCGATTCTCCCGTTCTCAATCCGAATCCCATCCGATTTGTATCTTCCGCATGGTAATAAACGAGCGAATCTGTCCCGACAGCGTCCCGATTCTCCCGAATGCGATCCAACAGAGATCAGATAGTGACCGGACAGTGAACCGACAAAGACGGTTCGCACTCGGCAAGATCTGGACGAAATCTGGACTCAATCGACAAGAAACGGCAATGAACAATTCATGCCCGTTCACCACAACAGCGTCCCGATCCACAGGACTCCGTCCAGACAACACAGGACATTGTTACGATTTTAATATGTCACGACATACAGCTGAATCTGTCACGACATAGTCACGATTGTAATCCGACTAGACAAAATCGCCTGAGTTTCCCGAATGTTACGGGACGCACCATATTTTCGGGAGTGCTTGGCCGACCTCTCTGGACCTTTCCCGATACGTAGGACTCGAACGAACGCATACGAGTGCGTCCATACAATGATAGGACATTCCAGATCATTGAGAATAGTAATCAGACTTTTTCACTTTTCTTGTCGTAGGGCTGTCTGATCTCAAACGGGAGCCATAATCGGCACTGTGTGAACCTGGCCTAAGGAATAGTACAATACAGTCATACACGTCATGCATGTTAGTATTAGCAATTATTCCCTTCGTAAATCTCTAAACAGGCTGTGAGTGAGTGAGTTTAGTTTTTCGCAATATTCCAACAATATCACTGAGGAGCACACTCACTGTCGGAAACCTGACTGAGGTCTTCGGCGTGGTGATCGAACGCTTTAACCACTAGCCTATCGTCTGGCGACCGAGAACATAATATACTCAACAATATTTGAGACTTACCTTCAGACACCGACTGTACTGAGTCCTCTACATACACTTTTATTTCAATAAGAGAAAGTGGGGGAAGGTCGGTGGAGACACGGACGTATCGTACTGTAAACAGCCTCTGGCAGGTGAATGTCGTGGTACCTTCACCGATACTCTGACCGCACAGGAAAGTATGGGCAGAATCAAAACTCGAATCCGAGGAGAGGGAAATTGTTCTGTTCTCCGCCACAGCCCCTTCTGTATAACAAATATTTCAGTACTGGGTGAAAGTATGGGGTTAACACTGCTTTGATCATAATTGAATTTACATAGGCTGCTTAATGTGGGAGTAAGCGCTTCTTTAGCAGTAACATCACGGCGTGTCAGCCTGATAGCAGGAACCGGAAATAAAGCGACAAAACCCTTTCCATATCCCAATCTCTGCATAAAGCAGAGTCGACTGTACAATTCTGACAATATCACGAGCATGTGTTTATGAATCACTATCAAATAGTAATGATACCAGGTGTTCGCGGAAAGGTGAGCGTATCCTACCCCACCGTTGACACCGTCACAAACACTTGCAAATTGCCCACCTGAACAACACGGGATGATATGGTACAAAAGTATGAAATGATACAGGCCTTATAGCTCTACCACTTGGCGAAACCCAGAATCATCGGAATGGTTTACGTACTTACAAACCTAGAACTATGATTAGGGCGAATATGAGATAACACGATCATATTTTCCTGACAGGACTAAGATTCACCTGTCTGTACAGCAAACCCTTTACTGTGGAATGAGTGAGTGAGTTTGGTTTTACGCCGCTTTTAGCAATATTCCAGCAATTATATTACGGCGGGAGACACCAGAAATGGGCTTCACACATTGTACCCATGTCGGGATTCGAACCCGGGTCTTCAGCTTGACCTGTACTGTGGAGAACTAAAGGAAAATACAAGGAAATAGAAAGCGACACTAGTATTTGATTGTTTTTATACACGTTATTCTGTATATCTTGTAGTGTGCAATCTGATAAAATAATTGCAGACATACGTGTCTCCAACATACTGCCACGTTACATCGAAAACGTCACGATTAATGCTGTGATTGCTGTGACTACATGGTCCGTCACAAACATTGATTAGCATCGAAAGCAGATCTCATACCTGACCAGAAAAATAATTCTCAACATACGGTCATCTGCACAAATTTTCTAATGTAAATTATATTAATTTTCGAAGTGAGGAGGCATATTTGCTAGAGGTATCTGTATAAAGTAGACACTTTTGTCGATTTGTAAAGCACATACAAATCTGTGCATACTATATGTATGTCAAACAAATTCTTTTTGTATATAAACGACCACCCATTATTCTGAGTCGTATAGAGACCCCCCCCCCTTTTACTGCTGTTTGTTTGTTCTGATACCGATTATGATCCTAGGATTCTGGGTTTCATCAATATCATCAATAAATACCGCTGCGTCAGTGTTAGCCTTCCTCTGACATTAGTGAGTGAGTTGGGTTTAACGCCGCTTTTAACATTATTCCAGTTATATCAGCGGGAGGAAAGCCCGAAGTGATGCAGGTCTAGGACGTTTACAAATTCGGTGAAACTCGCGAGCACTGGTATGGTGCTGACGAACCTAGAAACATAATTGGGGCGAACTGGGATTCGAACCAAAAATCATAGGTTTCTGGCGTTCTCAAGGGACACAACTCTGCACAGCGAATCGCGGCGCCTTAAACGACTGGGCCACCAGTGCCCCCTCCTCTGACATTAACCGTTAATATCAGAGAAAAAATTATCAAGTCGTAGTCAAATATTAACTCATGTAATGAGATATAAAATAATTACCAAACTTCGGAAAGGAGATGGTTATTTGTTTGACGTGATTGTTGTTTTCTAAATCAATTTGCCAGTAGGCGTGTCCGGTCGGAGTGTAATCGGACTCAAAAGATGTATCCAAGCGTCCATCAATCGCGCGTTCTGGTGGGAATCCTTCATGCACTGAGCTCGCACTCAATGGTTTCCCTGCTAGGTTTACTGAAACAAAACCAGAAATGCTATGTACCATGTTATTGTGAAAATCATTCGGCAAAACCCGGCGGTCATATGACTGTGAGGCCTTTCCCTCAGCATCAAAACAGAAATCGTACCAATACAAGAACTCGCAATATATATGTGCACCCAACTCATACACATACGTACCAAAGAGGGACAGGTCAGACAAAATTGCTGAGGCAGAAGCCGACCTCTTAAACATTTAAAGTAACAACAACAATATGTTGTTACCTCCAGGTATCGCTAGACCGTTTATAGGTGGTAATGCTACTTGTGTGGTCTTTCGAAACATACGGTTCGTTCGTAAGTAATTACGGGTCACTGTTAATCTAATACTGACTTACTCTGGTTGTATTAAGCTCAAGTTATTATCAAGCGTTCTTCATACTTTGTTTTTCTAGTAATCCGTGGATAACCAACTTTCCTGCGATTGTCTATTTTAGGCCAAATACGCAATGAAAAATAAACTAGCTGAGCACAGGAATGTCCATACTGCATATTATTCCTTTATGGATTTGGTAATAAGTGAAATGGATGCTAAATTGAAGAAGACTAAGAGAAATAATTCAACCTGTAAATCAACATGTAAATCAAATTACAAGCCTTACTGGTCTGATGTGCTACAGAATATGTGGGATAACGTGTGTAGATCTGAAAAGGAATGGCTGGCATGTAGTAGGAACTCTGTTATTAAAGGTGTGTGTCGTCGTCATTTTCTGGGCAAAAGAAAACTGTTTGTTAAAGCATTAAGAAAAGCTAAACAAAATTGTCAACTAGGACAACAGGATGAAATACTGAAGTTAGAGCAGAATGGTTATTGCAAAGAATTCTGGAAAAGAATTTTGGTCACTTGGGCCTTTCTTACGACAGAAAACAGCGTATACCTATGGAGGTGTTTGATGAAAATGGTGACGTCATAACCGAACATAATCGAGTGCTCTCCCACAAGAAGGATTCCTCCAGTAATCTACTTAATAATGGTTTAACAGGAACGTTTGATGTTGAACATTATAGTAACACACAACAACACCTATCTACAGGAGAAGAGCTACCTGGTAATGATACTAGTGATGGACAACCAGACATAACAGACATAAACAAACCAATTGATTTGTCTGAAGTACAGTTAGAAGGCAGTTATGAGTATTAAGAAGGGAAAAGCAACTGACATAGATGGTATACCAATTGAAGTGCTTCAGAACCCACACTGTGTTGTCTTTTGAAAATGCAGTTTCACCACATGGTTGGAGGGAAGGACTAAACCACAATCAGGACGTGAACCAAGAGATTCACTTGGATATAGAGGGCTGACAATGATTTCTGTTCAATGTAAAGTACATGTATATACTGCTTTATTAAATCAACGAATCCAAACGTGGCTTGAAAAGAATAAATTTTTGGCAAAAGAACAAAATGGATTTAGACCCTAACGAGTTATGAATACCCAAAGCCATTTAGAAAGTGGTCAAATGTGACATATGTTATATTTGGGATAACACCTTCTTAGTCAAGTACAGATTCTAGTACTTTTTTTGGGTTGAGTCCGGTCCGGGATTCGAACCCACACTTACCAGAGTGAGGCACCTAATCGCCAGCACACAAAGTCAGCGATCTAACCCACTCAGCCACCGAGGCTTCCACAAAAATGGAAGTCCGACAACTGGTAGTCTAGTTAACATACTTTGAGCACCCCTCTGACAAGTGTAAATTGGCACGGCTCCCATGGCCGAAAGCTATAAATACACAATGCCATTTAGAAAGTGGTCAAATGTGACATATGTTATATTTGGGATAACACTTTCTTAGTAAAGTACAGATTCTAGTACGTTTTGGGTTGAGTCCGGTCCGGGATTCGAACCCACACTTACCAGAGTGAGGCACCTAATCGCCAGCAAACAAAGTCAGCGGTTAGATCGTTTTACTCCAAACGAGACTGGGAATACTTCTGTATACAAGTTATTAATATTAACACTGCAGTGATAATCTGTGTATAGTCTCTATAGCATCAAGAATCTTATCATAAATTCCATGTTTTCTTAGAAAGAGTAATCCGAAATATAACATATGTTACACCTAACGGAGTTGTATGGATCATTTATATGTGTTGTTTAATATCATACAGAAAAGAAAATAGTTTACACAATCAACTTTTGTATGCTTTGTTGGCATGCAAAAGGCGTTTGACACTGTGAACAGACATTGTTTATGGTATGAATTAAGGAAACATGGAATTTATGATAAGATTATTGATGCTACACAGAGCCTATACATAGATTATCACTGCAGTGTTGATATTAATAACCTTTATACAGAAGTATTCCCAGTCTCGTTTGGAGTAAAACAGGGATGTAAGATGTCACAACCCTAATTTCGATCTACATCAACGATCTTTCTGATGAAATTAATATGTTACATTGTGGTGTGCAATTTGATGAAGCTACCCTCTCAGTATTGTTTCATGCAGATGACATTGCCCGCATTGCACCGGACCGTGTGTCACTACAAAGAATACTGGATATTTTAAGTAAATGGTGTCAAAAATGGAGACTGGTAATCAACAAGGACAAAACTAAGGTCATTCACTTCAGGAATGGATCCACAAAAACAACACCTGTTAATTGTCACTGTGGCTCACATGACTTGTGTATCACTGACGGCTATAGATATCTCAATATATGGCTTAATGGACATTTAGATATTGAAAAATCTGTTAAGGAATTATACAAGTATGCTGGGAGAGCACTATAAGCACTTTATACACTAAATTTATTAGTGCTTGGTGGGATTATACACCTCACTTGTTGAACCAGTCTTGTTCTAATGTTGCAGGAGTATGGGGTTCAAATGTGCACAAGGAGATCCAGGTCATCAATAATATAGCATGTAGATACTACCTTGGTGTTGGTAATCATTCTTCTAAATGTTTCACAAGAGGAGATATGGGATGGACATCTTGTTCAGTTCAACAAAAAACAGAGTTATTTTGCATTACGTTTAACAACCGCATCTTGTTGGAATACAGACTACCTCATAAAGTGTATAACTGGTCAGTTGCAAAAAATAAATCACGGGACAGTAAAATAATAAAACTTCTGCATAATTATAATGCTGGGAGGATTCTGACAGAAGATTGGAGCATTCAGATGAAAACCAGGTTTCTGAAAGAATTTCTGACATATGAAGATCAACTGAAATGGTTTCAAGATGTCTGGGATGATTCAAGATCAGAAAATGGAAAAACATAAGAACCTATAGATATTTAAAGCATAACTGTTATCTTAGCTCTATTGTAAAGAGTGTGAAGCGGCGAAAAGACAGACGTATCTTAGCTAAGTTCAGATATGGATCACTCCCATTGTCTTTTGAGACTGGTCAGTACCAAGCCTCCCATTCCACTACAAGAAAGAATATGTAAATAACGTGCTGATAATACTACTTTAGTAATAGAAGATGAGATGAAATGCATTTCCTCATTGAATGTTATCAGTATGGTGACATAAGATTTGATCAGGATTTTGATAGGACGATTCCCGATTAAAATTTGTCCAAAGTCTGATCAAGTTCCTGTGATTCGTGGCGGGAAATTCACAAACAATTAGATATTGTTCAGGAAGCGTCCCGGATCAGCCGTTTCCAGCCGAATTCGTCCCGATTCCCAATCCGAATCTGATCCGATTTGTATCTTCCGCATGGTAAAAAAACGACCGAATCTGTTCCGACAGCGTCACGATTCACCCGATTGCGATCCGACAGAGAGATCCGACAAAGACGGTTCGCATTCGGCAAGATCTGGACGCAATCTGGACCCAATCGACAAGAAACGGCCCGTTAATCACAACAGCGTCCCGATCCACAGGACACCGTCCAGACAACACAGGACATTGTTACGATTTTAATCCGATACAGCTGAATCTGTCACGACATAATCACGATTGTAATCCGACTAGACAAAATCGGCTGAGTTTCCCGAATGTTACGGGACGCACAATACTGTCGGGAGTACTCGGCCGACCTCTCTGGACCTTTCCCGATCCGTAGGACTCTGTTACGAACGTATACGACTGCGCTCAGACAATGATAGGACATTCCAGATCATTGAGAATAGTAATCAGACTTTTTCACTTTTCGTGTCGTAGGGCTGTCTGATCTCAAACGGGAGCCATAATCGGCACTGTGTGAACCTGGCCTAAGGAATAGTACAAAACAGTCATACACGCCTAAAACACATCAATGAAAGTCATGCATGTTAGTATTAGCAATTATTCCCTTCGTAAATCTCTAAACAGGCTGTTAGTGAGTGAGTTTAGTTTTTCGACGTATTTCGCAATTTTCCAACAATATCACTGAGGAGCACACTCACTGTCGGAAACCTGACTGAGGTCTTCGGCGTGGTGATCGAACGCTTTAACCACTAGCCTATCGCCTGGCGACCGAGAACATAATATACTCAACAATATTTGAGACTTACCTTCAGACAGCGACTGTACTGAGTCCTCTACATACACTTTTATCTCAATAAGAGAAAGTGGGGGACGGTCGGTGGAGACACGGACGTATCGTACTGTAAACAGCCTCTGGCAGGTGAATGTCGTGGCACCTTCACCGATACTCTGACCGCACAGGAAAGTATGGGCAGAATCAAAACTCGAATCCGAGGAGAGGGAAATTGTTCTGTTCTCCGCCACAGCCCCTTCTGTATAACAAATATTTCAGTACTGGGTGAAAGTATGGGGTTAACACTGCTTTGAACATAATTGAATTTACAAAGGCTGCTTAATGTGGGAGGAAACGCTGCTTTGAACATCAAGTCAGTTATATCACGGCATGTCAGCTTGTCAAGGGACGCAACTCTGCACAGCGACTGGCGGCGCCAAAGACGACTGGGCCACCAGTGCCCCTCCTCTGACATTAACCGTTAATATCAGAGAAAAAATTATCAAGGCGTAGTCAAATATTAACTCATGTAATGAGATGTAATATAATTACCAAAGGATGGAAAGAGGATGGTTATTTGTTTGACGTGATGGTTGTTTTCTAAATCAATTTGCCAGTAGGCGTGTCCGGTTGCAGAGTAATCTGACTCAAAAGATGTATCCAAGCGTCCATCAATCGCGTGTTCTGGTGGGAATCCTTCATACACTGAGCTCGCACTCAATGGTTTCCCTGCTAGGTTTACTGAAACAAAACCAGAAATGCTATGTACCATGTTATCGTGAAAATCATTCGGCAAAACCCGGCGGTCATATGACTGTGAGGCCTTTCACTCAGCATCAAAACAGAAATCGTACCAATACAAGAACTCGCAATATATATGTGCACCCAACTCATACACATACGTACCAAAGAGGAACAGGTCAGACAAAATTGCTGAGGCAAAAGTCGACCTCTTAAACATTTAAAACAACAACAACAATATGTTGTTACCTCCAGGTATCGCTAGACCGTTTATAGGTGGTAATGCTACTTGTGTGGTCTTTCGAAACATACGGTTCGTTCGTAAGTAATTACGGGTCACTGTTAATCTAATACTGACTTACTCTGGTTGTATTAAGCTCAAGTTATTATCAAGCGTTCTTCATACTTCGTTTTTCTAGTAATCCGTGGGTAACCAACTTTCCTGCGATTGTCTATTTTAGGCCAAATACCTAATTGAAAATGAGCTAGCTGAGCACAGAAATGTCAGTGCTGCATTTTCTTCCTTTATGGATTTGGTTACAAGTGAAATAGATGCTAAATTGAAGAAGACTAAGAGAAATAATTCAACCTGTAAATCAACATGTAAATCAAAGTACAAGCCTTGCTGGTCTGATGTGTTACAGAATATGTGGGATGACGTGTGTAGATCTAAACGGAATGGCTGACATGTAGTAGGAACTCTGTTATTAAAGGTGTGTCGTCGTCATTTTCTGGGCAAAAGAAACCTGTTTGTTATATTAAAGCATTAAGAAAAGCTGAACGAAATTGTCAATTAAGACAACAGGATGAGCTACTGAAGTTAGAGCAGAATGGTTATTGCAAAGAATTCTGGAAAAGAATTGGTCCCTCGGCCTTTCTTACGACAGAAAACAGAGTATAACTATGGAGGTGTTTGATTAAAATGGTGACGTCATAACCGAACATAATCGAGTGCTCTCCCACAAGAAGGATTCCTCCAGTAATCTACTAAATAATGGTTTAACAGGAACGTTTGTTGATGAACATTATAGTAACACACAACAACACCTATCTACAGGCCAAGAGCTACCTGGTAATGATACTAGTGATGGACAACCAGAACAACCTTAAACAAACCAATTGATTTGTCTGAAGTACAGTTAGAAGGCAGTTATAAGTATTAAGAAGGGAAAAGCAACTGGCATAGATGGTATACCAATTGAAGTGCTTCAGAACCCACACTGTGTTGTCTTTTGAAAATGCAGTTTCACCACATAGTTGGAGGGAAGGACTAAACCACAATCAGGACGTGAACCAAGAGATTCACTTGGATATAGAGGGCTGTCAACGATTTCTATTCCATGAAAAGTACATGTATATACTGCTTTATTAAATCAACGAATCCAAACGTGGCTTGAAAAGAATACACTTTTAGCAGAAGAACAAAATGGATTTAGACCCAAACGGAGTTGTATGGATCATTTATATGTGTTGTGTAATACCATACAGAACAGAAAATTGTGTACACAATCGACTTTTGTATGCTTTGTTGGCATGCAAAAGGCGTTTGCCACTGTGAACAGACCTGAGTATCACTGACAACTTAAGATATCGGTAATGAACATTTAGATATGAAAAAGACAGTTAAGGAATCATGTAAGTATGCTGGGGGAACACTGTCAGCTTTATACACTAAATTTATTAGTGCTGGTGGGATGTCTTATGAAGTTTATACCAAATTATACCTCACTTGTTGAACCAGTCTTGTTCTAATGTTGCAGGAATATGGGGTGCAATTGTGCACAAGGAGATCCAGGTCATCCAAAAGAAAGCACGTAGATACTACCTTGGTGATGGTGAGCATTCTTCTAGTTTTGCCACAAGAGAAGATATGGGATGGACATCTTGCTCAGTTCAACAAAAAACAGAGTTATTTTGCATTACGTTTAACAACCGCATCTTGCTGAAATACAGACTACCTCAAAAAGTGTATAACGGGTCAGTTGCAAGAAATAAATCATGGGACAGTAGAATAATAACACTTCTGCATACTTATAATGCTGGGAGGATTCTGACAGATGATTGGAGCATTCAGATGAAAACCAGGTTTCTGAATGAAGATCAACTGAAATGGTTTCAAGATGTCTGGGATGATTCAAGATCAGAAAATGGAGAAAAAGAACCCATAGAACTTTTAAGCATAACTGTTATCTTAGCTCTATTGTAAAGAGTGTGAAGCGGCGAAAAGACAGACGTATCTTAGCTAAGTTCAGATATGGATCACTCCCATTATCTTTTGGGACTGGTCGGTACTCCAAGCCTCCCATTCAACTACAAGATAGAATATGTAAATATCGTGCTGATAATACTACTTTAGCAATAGAAGATGAAATGCATTTCCTTATTGAATGTAATCAGTATGATGACATAAGATTTGATTTATTCAGTTATGCCACTTTAATAAATCCCTGTTTTGTAAATTATGATAAACAACAGAAGTTAGCATTCCTTGCTCAGTGTGACATTACACATTATACAATATCACTGCAACTGTGCTTCAAACGCTAGATTTTATGTGCGTCTCAGTGCACTCATTTTTGATGAGGTCAATTTGACTTTATTCAGACTGTTATTGTAATAGTATTGTTTTATTCTGTGTCATAAGCCTTGTTGGCTGGGCATAATATTTTATCTATTGTATTTAAAATGATCATAATAATGTAACATATAGTGTGTAACACACTAATAAATCTTAATTTTAAAGACGAGCTTATGTATTTGAAAATCCTACTGGCTGATTTGCCTTTGAGCTATACATACATGTACCATTTCAACCGCTTGAGGTCAAGATTGTCACTGCCATCTTTGGGAGAGGTCCACTATTTATAGGGGACGTAGGCCTTTAAATCTCTCATCAATCCAAAACTCAATCACTTGTTTTCATCTCTCCCAACTCCCCAAGATAAACTTAATTAAGACTTTATAGTTCGCACTGAAAAATATGACGGTCTCAATGCTAACAAAATTGCATATATGGAGTGATATGGAGATTTTTTTTTTAAACACCTTTTTGAGGTGAATCTATTTTTTGCTTGATGGGGCATTGCAACCATTCTGAACACTTCTGAAACTATTAGCACTAGTGTAAGAACTGTAAGGATTGATAATTAACAGAGTAATCTACTACCCAAGATGAAAGGAAAAGGGAATTTGATATGTAAATGATAGTTAATTTTTGGATAGGGTATGGATTGAAAACTAACATTCTAGAATACATTGTTGTTGTAAACTCAATCATGAAGAGATGTTCCCTGAATTCTGTTGATTTAAAAAAATAATCTCTTAATCTCTGAAGCGCCTTATTTCAATACAACTTATAACTTAATATTATTTATATAACCTGTTAAAATATCGAAGGAACTCAATGTTACTATAAAACATTATATCGGAAAATATGATAATTTTGAAAATCTGTTTTACCAATATTATTTCCTACAAAATGTGTGGCAAATGTAGGTTAATTTTTACTAACCATAGACTTCCTTTCACACACTCATTTATTTTCAATTGACTCGCTTTGATATACATGCTAGAATCCACTGGTATTGTTACGTTGTAAAGAAACTGGAAATGTATATTCAAAATGCAACAAATAAACAAAAAATATAAAATGCAACATGTAGGTACATACGTAGCAAAATAGACATACAAGTTGATACACAGTAGTCCAATGTAGAGAACATCTAGATACATGTGTACATACTGACTGCAACTCCCACGGAGAAATTTTCGGAGAATGTGAAGAGCCCCCAACACTCCAGCCTTCCGCATTATATTATTATTATTATTATTAATATTATTATTTACAGATAATTTTTTTTAAAAAGCAGCAAAGCGGGTTTGGGTGATCCTGGCACTGTAAGGCTGATCAGGTTCATCATCAGCTCAGGGCCCTTTCCCCCTCTACACGCAGCCCATGCAGCGAATGGGACAACTCCCAGGAAGTGCTGCCTAGTAAAACCCACGGAGAACTTTTTGGAGAATGTAAAGAGCCCCAAACACTGCAGCCTTCTGCATTACCCAGATTGTCAGAAGGGTTGTATTCCCAGTAGCAAACCCGGCTTCTCTCCCAAAGTCACTCAACAGATTGCCAGGTACCAAACCTAAGGCACCTAGAACAATTGGGAGTCGCACAATTTGGTACTTGGGTTGCAAGCGTGACATTTCGAAAGCGAGGTCCGCATATTTTTATATCATACATACAGGTCCAAATTATACCTACAAACTACGCCGAAGTTCCGACGACAAAATACACAAACCACTGGTCCATGCCAACCGTCTGAAGCCATATTTTGATCCTGCTGATCGTCCACAGTATCCTCCAGAACCATACCTCAATGACACAAGTAACATAGATTCAGGAGTCATGGATGACATCAAGGAACCTGTCAATGATACTCAGCTTGACAGCGACAATTCCCCATCAACAAGTTCAACTTACCAGGCTACTGATCAATCACCTCCACAACAGAAAGGTAAGAAGGTCAATTCCAAAACAAAGGCAGGTACTTCCAGCAACAAGAGTCCGAAGCAAAAGAACCCAACAAAGAAGATAAACCCTGCTCCAAGTACAACAGAAAAACCTGCCAGTCCCAGTACAACAATGACGAAGGAAAATCATGCTCCAACCAAGCTAAATGAAAAAGTAAACAAAGGGAAAAGAGGAGTGAATAGTAAGTATCACCAGCCAAAATCCAGAAAACAACTTGACGACAGCCATGTAAAACCTCCAAGTCAGAGTCCAACATCAGGTAATCAAACCAAGGATATCCCTCAGGTTTTCAATCCAGAGGACATCCACTCAATTGTTAGTTCCAAGAGAGCAAATGGCAAAATCTACTACAGAGTGAAATGGAAGGATCCAGAAAGAGGAAACACATGGGAGTATGGCAGCAGCATTCCAGACTCCATTCGGAGAGAATTTCACCTCAAAAGAAGTATGTCAAGAAAACGACGAAAAC